CTGTACAAGAAAATGATTAATAAAGCCCCTTTAATGTGAGAATACTGAAAAATTGTCAGTGAGGAATCCTTGTCAGTTATCTGAATCAGATTATTTTTTTATATAAAATAGTGAGATATTTCAGTCCATTTCAAAATTTTAATTAGTAGGTCAAAGAGCAGTTACACACTTAAAGGGACAGTTTACCCAAAATTATCATTTATGCACCCTAATCTCAATCCAAACCAAATCATAAAGTCATTCATTTAATGGACAAAATAGCATTTTTGAAATGTCATTTTTTTTCATTTTTTGTTTTGTTTAAATTAACCATTTATTAGCCCTTTCCCATCACATCTGCTGTCTTTACATGTTTTGAATTGAATTTGACATTGCACTTCTAGCAAAAGCTATTTAAAATATATTTCCAATTGCCTCACTCCTTATCTCTTCCATATGTAAAGAATAGTTTGCTCGGTTGCGTCTTCAAACTTTTAGGATGACTTCTTGTGGAGGAGATGCCAAACCATCATCCAGCCCAGAATAATCCTGTTCTTATAAGAACTGAGCTGTATGTCAAGAGCAGTACGTTTGCAGGTTTGAATCCTCTCAGGGTTATATAAAGGTCCAAACAGGATGTCTTAGTAAAAACGCCTGTGGCGTTGAAGAAAGCAGATGGTCCAGCGTGTCCTACATTGACAGATTTTCTTCTGTTATATGAAGCAGAAATGCTCTTATTTTACATCTGCTGTTAGTGCTGATTGACTTGTTGGCAAATTTTATGCAGTACTCCGTCTTATTAATGATTTCTATCTCAATAAATGCAGTACTTTAAAAAAAAATTGTATTTAGCAAGGGATTCAAGGAATTAATATGCACCAAATCAGCATATTAGAATGATTTCTGAAGGATCATGTGACACTGGTGTAATGATTCAGGAAATCCAGCTTTGTCATCAAAGGAGTAAATGACTTTCACATTTGCATTAAAATATATTCACATATAGAACGGATAATTAAATTTACTTGTTTGATAATTAGTGTAAAATGTGTTTTTGACTTGCTCATTATTGAGCTCACACGTCATCTACAGTTTCAGAATTTCATAGAAAACTGATCTGGTTTCTGCACGATTCGAGTTTTACACATCTCTCGTCTCTTGCCTGCTCATTTACGAGGTGCTTTGCCTAATTTTATTATACTTTTTCAGCTCAGTATAAGTCCGTTTAAATCAGCAGAATTTTGCTCCAAAAATTTATTTTTTTAATTTATTTATTTATTTAATATGGACATAGCAATAACATTGGACGAACCAGATGCATTGTTTAAAGTGTAATAGCACATGTGCTAATTTTCAACACCTGTCCATAGGGGCTTTTACTACAGATAAAAACACATTATAAAACAAGACAAAGATCATTTACACATGGGAACAACTTTGGCCCGATTTCAGCCACTGTTTAAGGTCTCTGGTGAAGATGTTAATATTCCTCTGCAGTTTGAGTCCAATTGGGAGAGAATTCCATAGTGTAGCCCCTCTGAAGGAGAAGCTAGACTGACCAAAAGATTTTCTAAACTTCGGTATCACACAATCCCCACTAACTGAGGCTCTGGTGGAAGGTCTTAAAGAGCCCTGACGCCTCTCTATGAGGCCAGAGAACAGTGGTGACACACAGTTGTTCAAACATTTAAAAGTCAATTTCAAAATACTAAAATTTACAAAGTTTTCAAAAGTAAAAAGCTTATGCTTCTTTATAATATTACAATGATGGTATATCATGGTTTTTTTTTATTTAATTAAAATTAAATATTAAAGATTAAATAAAATTAAAGATTTAATTAAATCAGTGCAGGAAATGCAGATGTCTGCACATTCCTTCTGGTCCTCTTGGTACAGATTCAATCTATACAGCAGTTCTGGAGCACATGCTACAGGTAAACATGAAATGGCAATAAAGCTCTTATATTTGTCCGGTCTTGCCTTACATCTATCAGACAGCTCAGTAGGGGAATATCTCACTCTCAACATCAGAAACCTGCATCTGTTTAGCTTTAAAGTGAGTCAGCATGGGGGGCCGGCAACGCAAGCCGTCTCACCAAACTAAACCATCCAGCTACTATAACAGCATGAATTTGGATGCAGTCACGTAGACAAGAACACTTTCTGAGGTTCAAGCCAGAGGATAATTCACAGAACAGTGGTGGGTTGTGAATTAAGAAAGCCCACGGTTATAATTTAAGCTACTGAAATCTATATCTTGTTCAGGTGCATGGGAGATGCATCGATAATCGATATGAGTCTATTGATTCATGTTTTAGTTTAAAACGGGTTAGAAAGGGCAATTCAGGTTAGTGTCACTTCATTGCTGTTCAGTCAGTGAATAAATGCAGATGCTTGCAATATGTCTGCTCGGATTCTGTCGTCCTGGACCAATTTGCATTGTAGAAATGTGTCGAGGAGCGTCTGGACTAGTTTTTCATTTAGAACATGCCACTCATCCATGTATCATCGGGGACAGTTGAAGAATGGTGAACTATCACCACATTTATCTTCATCACATTGTGATGTTTTGAGACTGGCAGATTGCCAGTATATGTGAAGTTACATTCAAATTATAATTTGTGTAATGACAGCAATGTTGTGAAATAAAAAAAAAATAGTTTGTAGTATATTTGAAGACTTCATATGGAAAAGCCGCCACCTTGACGATAGATAACGATATTGAGCGAAAGCGTAATACGATCATCAAATACTTTCGCTTCAAAGACAAACCCGGTAAATCCTGCGTTATCTCACGACCAATTCAAGTGATTAAAAAGTGGCTAATTCGTACTAATTCATACGACCTCACTCGTACTCGTACGAATTCATATGAATTGGCCAATTCGTAAAATATATACGATTTAGCAAAAAACGTACTAATTCGTACGAGTGAGGTCGTACGAATTGTTACGAATTAGCCACCTCGTAAAATTCGTACGAATTCTCGTGAGATGCTAAATCCCAGCCTCAGTCCATTCAGAAATATATTTTTGTACAAGAAAAAGCTTTTAAGTTCAAAGAACCAATCAGAAGACTCTAATCAAATCATGTGATTTCAAGATGAATGGCGTACATATGAGCTGCAAGTTTTTATCCTGTTTAAAGAGATTTTTAACTTAACAAGATGGAGGAGTATGATGAAATGAGAGATTTTGTGAGTAGCATGTAAACACAACAGTGTTCCTGTAAAACTGTAACTCTGACAGAAACGGACATAAGCTACATTAAAGAACAGCTCTATTCTACCCATGACAAAGTCAAACAAGATGCCGACTTTTTGCAACAACAACAAAAAACACACACAAACACATGGACTTAGCTGGTTTTGCCAGTAGCACCTCAATGCAGTACATGAGATCCACGGGGAGGAGTCGGATCAAGATCCAAGGGGTGGAGATGGGTAGGATTAGGGTTGGGTTTAGGGATTAGGGGTGGGTTTAGGGATCAGGGGGGCGGAGTTGGGTAGGTTTAGGTGTATGTTAGGTGGGAGGAGTTGGATCTAGATCCGACTCCTCCCCGTGGATTTCATGTTCCGCAGTGAGGACCATCTCGGTATTGCAGCAAAGGCAATCAAATTCGTTAAATACCAATGAGTTGACTAAAGTGACATTTCTGAATAATGGCATTTCAATAACCGACTAATAACCTTTTCATTGCCATTTAAGTGAAATTACTGAACCTGATAAAAATGCTCATTTAAAAGAAAGGTTTTTGCATCGGAAGTCTTCATATGTAATGTATGTATAAAAGTTAAATAAACATATAAAAATAAAACAAATATTACAGTATGTAAATATTTTATTTAACTTTTAAGTCCACATATTTTGACCCACAAAGATTTATCAATAAAATTGTGTTCATTTAAAATTTTATATAAATGATGATATTTAGTGATATTTACGTCATTTGCACACACTTTGTTTTTTAATCTTCCATTCATTCAAACAAATACCCTCTTGTAATTTTAACGATCCGCAAGCTTGGTTCCCATAAAACCTCATCCTTCTTTTAGATGTAATCTAGGTCCCATGATCCTCCTTGTTGCTGGACTGAGTATGTCTGAGACATTAGCCTCACTGATCTCATGCTTCCTATGAATGGACCGATGACTGCAGGGGTTCTCCTGGGATTTCACTGATCCCTCCACTGTTCTGTTTAACTCTGAGCTTAGCCTTCATTGCTCTCTTGACTTTTATATGTCTACTGACCCGGCTGATCATTGCGACACAGACGCTGTGGATTTATGCTTGAATCCATCGCCGTCTCAGATGCTTGGATGTGGTGCAACGAGTGTGCGTACAGAATCTGTTTGTTAGTAATGACAACATTTTTTTTAGTTGGAGATACAATGCAAATTCAAACCAGTCTAAAATATTTAGAGTTGAAAAGGCTTAATATAAAATTCGAATGCATTTGTCTGCTCAGTCTAAAACAGTTGAGGTTCTTTAGCTGGTTCCTTGCCTTTGGTCCTCATTCATTTTGATTAAATGCATACAGCAAGTTGCGTTTTGCACATTGTCACAGGCTGTAATCTTATTCCTAAAAGCCACGGTGATCAGTGTGTCGCATGCTATCATATTTAAACAGATCACACATGCAAAAGAGCTGTGAATGAGTCCTGCGGGATGAGAAGCTTCAGTCACCTGCTGTGAACGAGGATTAGAGTGTCTTTTTGCCCGCCCCTCGTCATCAGCACTGTAGTTTGATCCTGTTCCCAGCCGTTTTTGGCAGTGCTGAGAATGTCCAATTCATGAATTGCATTCCTTTATTTATGCTTGCTCCTACTTTGTCTGCGTGCAAAATGCAATACATGAAATGATTTTTATTTCAAACTCTTGATATATCATTCTTATGGTTATACTATTACAATTTATATTACAATTTATTTTGTTTTATGCAAGGGAATAATACAGATGCTTTGAAAGTGTACAAAAAAGTCCTAATTCAATCTCTCTCTTCTTTTTATTCTTATTTTGAAGACACGGGACACGTTGTGCTGGAGAAGTTGCTGCTGTCGCCAACAATGGCATCTGTGGTGTCGGAGTGGCCTACAATGCCAAGATCGGAGGTGAGTTGGCGTATTTACATACGTTTATCGTGTTTTATCACGTACAGTCTTTTGTCAGCACACACCCTGCCCTTTCTAATATTTGAATTGCAAAACACCTCAGTGAAGCATCCAATTAGCTTTACTTTCAGATTAGCCTTGTCTCTGTCCATTAAACTGAATGAGAACTCTTCCTCCGCTCCGTACCGAGAGCGCTTCGGAAGAGGAACTCCATTAGTGATGGCTTCCTGAGCTCAAGTGGGACAGTTATCACAGGCTCCAGCACAGGTCTCTTTGCGCCAACGATTTGGACGCTAGCATATGTAATCCTTTTAATTGGCAGAGGTGCAGATTTTCTGCTGTCTACATGATCTTGGACTCAGGGATAAATGTCATTGATTGATGTCATTGATAGTGGCAAACGCTTTCCACGTTCTCTCCAAAAAAATCTCCCTTTAGATTATCAATATGAATTAATGAATGAGGCACTTTACTGGGTAAATTCACTTAAATATCCAAATTGTCATCATTAATTATCACCCTTATGTTGTGCAAAATACTGACTTTCTTTGGTTTAACATAGGGCTGGGCGATATATCGAGTTTGTACGATGTATCGTTATATTTTTTGAAACGATATGGAATGAGGCAATACCGTTTATATCGATACAGTAGTTTGATATGAGCACATCTGAAAAATAGCGGAGGTTGCAGTGTGAGCTGCTGCAGTGAAAGTAGCTAGGCTACGTAGTACAATTTGTCCTAAACATGACACAAGCTTATATTAATTGCGTCAAAATCACTTTGATATAGTTAACAAGTTTAAGGCAGCTTGCCGCCCTGTCAAATGCTCTGACAGACACTGTTGCTGACTGACAAGATACTTGCGCTGTTTAATGCGTTTGAGATGTGGTGCTTTCCTCAGTGCTCAACTTACATTTCACAGGTATATTCTCCATCTGTAAATGTTAGAAAGTAAAGCAAATATGTCCATTTCACAACAAATATGTCCATGTCAGAAGGGGACGAGCTTCTGCAAGTGAATCTCCGCTAAAATTCATGCTTCCTTGAACGAGCGCCGGCGCGCGCATGCGCGTGAATAGTACTACGTAGTACGCAATAATTCTGACTAAAATAAACATATTGCTAAAATATTTGTTGTTGGAGAAAATAAATGTGCCATATGTGGAATTTTAAATCTAAAAGTATATATTTTTAATGAAAGTGAAAGTAATTATAATGGGGTAATCAAATGCAGGCTAATATAATAGTTTGTGCTTTTGTTTTTATTTTCATTTTTAGTTTAGCCTTTTGTCAATATAAAAACAAAAGCTTTTTGCACATAATATATTGCATAGCCTATATTATATTTGTTTCCATATCCTTCAATATCAACATTGTTTGTAGGATATCATTGGGCCGAATGTGAATATATATATATATATATATATATATATATATATATTTTTAAATATAAAGATTTTCTTTATCTAAATAGAAAACGTAGAAAGTACCGAGATATATATCGTATATCGCCATTTGACCAAAAAATATCGAGATATGATTTTTTGGCCATATCGCCCAGCCCTAGTTTAATACAAGGAGATATTAAGCAGAATTTATTTACTGCCATTCTCCAATACGATAACTTTATAACGATAGCTGGTCATCACCAAAAGCTTTCATATGACTGCAAAAAAAATACACAAGCTGTATCAACGGTTTAACACTTTTATTGGGAGGAAAAAGAAACATTTGTTTGAAACAACATGAGGCGGAGTAAATGATGACAGAATTTTCATTTTGGGTGAATTAAGTTTTACCATTTGATGAATGACACCACAGAATAGATTATGTAACATCTTTATGTTTCCGTTTATATAACGCGTATTATGAGGTCACACTGGCTCTATACAGCAGCAGCCATTAGTAGCATTTTTAAGCACTGACTCATCAAAGAACAATTTTTCAGAGAGAAATTGCTTTTAACGACACCCAGAAGATGTTGGTGTTTTATTGTATTTATTTTAAACTTTGACTTTGAAACACATTCTACCTTTTACAGTACGTTTTCTCTCATTTATGATTTTTGCTGGTGAGGTGTTCACCTAGCACCACTAAAGCAATGACCATTTTGTCCATTATGTTTTGTTTAGTTGTCTGATGTCCCCACCCCCCAAAGAATCAAGAGAGGAAAGGCAATCTCCATTTTGCACAAAAAAATCGTGATTCTCAATTTATTTAGAATCGTGCAGGTCTAATGCATCATAAAATAACATCACACACCTTTCCTGAAAAAATTGCATGATTTATCACTCACACCCATAATACAAACAGTGCTGGGTGACTTGCATTTAATACTTATGTTTAGGGATTTGAACAAACCTCTTAGAATAAGCTATAGTAATTACAAGTAGTAATAAACTCAATTCACCCTCTGCTGGTGTGGCACGTTATACATAAATGATACGTTAAATCATGCAATTTTTTTTAGGAGAAGTGAGAGTTGTTATTTTATGATGAATTTGATGCAATTTGGCTAATGAAAATGGGCAAAAAAGGAGAACAGAGGCAGGATTTTATTTTCAAAAACATTTCTTAAAATGTTCTTATCTTTTGTTCTTAAGTTTGTTCTAAAGACAAAACTTAAGAATTTGAATGAAAAAAAAATGCTCTTAAAAATCATTATAAATAACCCATTAGAGTTACGATAACCTTTCCAAAGGTATGATGTTTAATACATTTATTGAGTTGTTTCAAATATTAAGCAACACAACATAGCACTAGCTATATATAAATTAATATTACATTGGATGTGCAAAGTGAGTAAAGGGACTGATCGAGATCGAAAACCCTGTGTGCGTTTATTATATTTACTGTGGTAATTGGTAGACAGTGGAAAAATAGGGATTTTGGGAACACATGATACAGTATGAACACCAATGGGTGGTACACGGTGGGCTCTGTTGACAGGGGTTTAGTTAGCAACCACCTAAGCACTGTGAGGGTGTGTTTTACATGGGCAACCACCACCAATCTTGTTTTTTTCACGGACTAAATATATGCTACACATCAAATGCAGAAAGATAATGCATTATGGGTAATGTGCATTTATTTTTTTCAGCTCTGCCTTTGTTATTCTTTAAAAGTAATTCTTGCACCACACCTTTTCAACCTGTATATGCTCCCAATGGGCCAAATAATGAGAAAGAACAAAATCGCTTACCACAGCAATGCAGACGACACAACGGCCCTAACGACTCCCTGTGCCAATGCATTGATGAAGTAAAGAGTTGGATGTGCCAAAACTTTCTTCAGTTAAACAAAGACAAAACTGAAGTCATTGTGTTTGGAAACAAAGATGAAGTTCTCAAGGTGAATGCATAGCTTGACGCTAGGGGTCTAACAACTACAAATCAAGTCAGGAATCTTGGTGTGTCTCTAGAGTCAGATCTTAGTTTCAGTAGTCATGTCAAAGCAATAACTAAATCAGCATACTATCATCTGAAAAATATTTCAAGAATTAGATGTTTTGTTTCCAATCATGCTTTCATCCCCAGCAGGGTGGATTACTGTAATGGCCTCCTCACTGGCCTTCCTAAAAACACCATAAGACAGCTGCAGCTCATACAGAACGCAGCAGGACTAGAAAATATGAACATATCACACCCGTCCTCAGGTCTTTACATTTAGGATTGATTTTAAAGTATTACTACTGGTATATACAGGGGTTGGACAATGAAACTGAAACACTGGCCAATGTTGGAGGTTTCACATCTATATGCCTGGCGGCCAATCTTCAGAGTGAAGCACGGGTGGATCAGTGATGGTTTGAGCTCCAATATCATGACAATCCTGATTGTATTTGATGGACACGACACTGCCGAGGACTACCAAACCCTTCTGGAGGATCATGAGCACCTGATGCTCAAACCGCATGATCATGCACCAACACACACAGCAAGACTTGTGACAGAAGGGTTTGATGAAGATGAAAGTGACGTTGAACATCTCCCATGGTCTGACAGTCACCAGATCTGAATATTATTGAGGTGTTTTGGAGGAGCGAGTCCACCAGCATCATATAGTGACCTGGACACTGTTCTGGAAGAGGAACGGCTCATAATCCCTCTGGTCACTGTGAAGGACTTCTATCTGTCAATTGGTGCTGTATTTGGATGCAAAATGAGGCCCTCACCATTTTAACAAATTATTGTGTAGTAAAACCAGGTGTTTCAGTTTTTTTGTCCAACCCCTGTAAATCATTTAATGGATTAGGACCTCAATATATTTCAGATATGCTCACTGAATATAAACCAAACAGATCACTCAGATCATTATGATCACATCAGCTAGAAATACCAAGGGTTCACTCTAAGCATGGAGAGTCTGCTTTTAGCTATTATGCAGCCGCAGCTGGAACCAGCTTCCAGAAGAGATCAGGTGTGCTCTTACAGTAGTCACATTCGAATCCAGACTCAAAACACTTCTGTCTAGCAATGCATTGTGCCACTGTTTTTACTGTACTTCTTTAATACTGCTCTGACTGGAAGAGATTTTGAAGGAGAGCAGGAGAGTCTTCACTCCGATGAGACGAGTGAAGGAGTAAGTTAATTATACTGTTGAGAGTATAAGAAGTCGCTGAGAGCGTCGTTAAGGGTAACGGCAGCAGACAGCGCACGCAATTGTCTGGGGGGGCCCCCGCTGGGCATTACTGGTGTAGCACCACCCCAGTAGAGTATGTCCCTGGGCTAGTGGTTCAGTGGTTCTCTTCCATCTCATAACATAATTTTATTTTCTGTTGTAAACTGTTTTAATTTTTCTTAGTTTTTTTGATTATTTTAACTCCTTCCATGTAAAGCACTTTAAATTATCATAGTGTATGAAATGTGCTAAATAAACTTGCCTTGCCTAAAGCAGATTTTTTTAATTAGCCTCCTAATGGGAAGCAGTGAAGGATAAATCTTCCTGTGTTTTACCTTGAAATCTTTGCTTAATAAGCAGCAGTTTTGGTCATAATATATAATATACATGTTATATATTAATATATAATATATATAATGTATAATGTCTGTGTGGTTATGTGTCTATAGATGCCTTATTTGCGGGTGTTTCAATGGGCCATGTTGTAACAGTCAAAGCCGGTCCGTGAACATTCGAGAGTAATTTGACTGAGCCGTATTTAGCAGCCGTATTCATGTTACTATCTATATCTGCGATTGACTTCAGCAGATTATTTTATAAACGAACACAATACAATACGAAGGCTAAACACAACATTAAAAAGTTACCATAGTAAAAATTAAAACATTAAAAATTACCATAGCCAAAAACTGTAATACTGAATTAATACAAAAATAACATTTTCACCTGTGAAAGGTGATCCCATTTCTGCGCAATGTTGTGGAATTGATTCTTACTGACTCTGCCAATGTGTCTGGAGCGGTCGAATGTGGCAGCTATGTATTTATGGCAGATACTACTCCTAATGTACCATGGGGATAGAAGGCTGAGACAATTGGAGGTCTTTGGATGGATAACCCATTACATCAGCCCAAACTGGCAGGCAGTGCCTTCTGCTAGAGGAAGGTTGAATGTGGAGATGGCAGCACACTAGCAGAGATGGCACACAACACGGCTAATTCCTCTGCCAGAACTCATTAAGAGAGAATATTGTTTTGAAAGATTTGGAGGAAACAGTAGACTACATTGTTAATACATGCTTTATAAAGAATAAACCTGAGGTTTCATGTTGCATTTTTGAGGGGACGTAGATTATGTGTATTTACCAAGTCTGAATAAAAAAATCCCTCCTTTTGTTGCCACAGTGCATTTCCTGGGAAGTAATCATAGCCAGCTCTCTTTTTGTCCTGTGGGGATATTTGGGACTCTTGGAATGTAGATATGGGATAATAACAGTGTATTTCCAAGATGCTGTGCTGTATTTTTCTGTAGTTGTTGTCGGTTTGTTTGCAGTACTGTCTGCACCAATGCGCTCAGATTGCTTTGGAAAACCTGAAAGGACTGAACTTTTGTTTATTTGCACTAACCCGTATGAGGGCAACCTTGAGTAACCTCGCCCCCTTGTGTATCAAAGGAGTGATTCACATTGTTTTGAAGATGTTTGACTCTGATTTCTCCACTTTACCTCTTTAAAAACTAAGCTGTGGGCAGAATGTTCTCTCTTTTTTTTCATTTGAGGCTGAGATAACGTTCTGATGCCGGGATCACAATAACTCAACACCTCTGACATTTTGGACCAAACGCTCTGGCTCGTTCCCAAACCCACAATTCGGTTTAAGATTCCCTTTTGTACAGGGAAGTGGAAAAAGATAAGATGGTCTTCTCCGTTGTGAAGCATCTGTGAAGGGATGTTTGAAAGAGAAGACTGTAGCCGCTTGTCACCCTTGAATGAACTCCAAATTCGAACACGAGATCACATGCACTCATCGTTTTACTTTTAAAAGAACTTTTATATGCAGCATAACTGTTTGTGCACCTCGTTCCTTTCATGCTGCAAGTCATAAACGGCAAAAAGATCTCGATCACATGGGGGTTTTATTAGGGTTATTCAAAGTGGCTTCTTTGTATTCAGCTTTTCTGTGTGTTTGGTTATATTGCATCTCTGCGCATTCTCTTAAAAACATTGGTAATCAATTTACTTGCTTGCTTCTCAAAGGAAATATAGGTTCTGGCTTCGGGCCTCTAATGAACTTCTTGATACAGCCCTAACATTGCAGGCAGTATGAGAGAAAAAATGACACTAAAAGTTTTGATTTACACCATTTATAATAATAGTAATACACATTCAAATGTAATGAAAGCTTGTTTTCACTTTAAACATTGTTTAAAGTATTTTATATGTAATTTATTTCTTAAATTTTATTCAGTTAGGACAGTAAAATTGTTCAAAATGAACAGTAAAGACATTTATAATGTTGCCAAATGGTTTTATTTCAAATAAATGCTGTTGTTGTGAACTATCTATTTATCCTATAAAAATGTAAAAAAAAAAAAAAAAATTTGCATTGATAATAAATGTTTCTTGGGCAGTAAATCAGCATATTAGTATGATTTCTGAAGGATCATTTGACTGAAGACCGGAGTAATGATGCTGAAAATTCAGCTTTGCATCACAGGAATAAATTACATATGACATATATTAAAGTAGAAAACGGTTATTTAAAATTGCAATAATATTTTACAATATTACTGTTTTTAATGTATTTTTGATCAAATGTATGTAGCAGCCTTGGTGAACATAAGAGACTTCTTTCAAAAACATTAAAACATCTTACCAGTTCTTAATATAACTCTCTGTATAACTCTCTTAATATAATATATTCTTAATATAACGCTCTCATTTTTTTTTTGGCATCTGATTTCTGCATTTTTACTAATATCACTGTAAATCGAGATATTATGAAATCCATTTCCCCTAACATCCCATCTAAATGTGAAATGCTTCTAATGGCCATCCTCTTGTAGCAGTTTTCACAACAATTCTTAACCTTTTTATCATCTAATCTAAATAGAGGTATTACAATAATCATTTCAAAAATAATTTAACCAAAGACATTTGTTTATAATTTTGTTCAAGACTCTGATGTGATGTTTTGTGTTTTGCAGGTGTGCGTATGTTGGATGGAGAGGTCACTGATGTGGTGGAAGCTCAGTCTCTTAGTCTCAACCCACACCACATCGACATCTACAGCGCCAGCTGGGGACCCGAAGATGACGGCAAAACGGTGGACGGACCTGCAAAGTTGGCCAAAGAGGCTTTTCTACGTGGTGTATTAGAGGTTTGGCATCTCTTTAATCTGAACTTGTTGCACTTTGTCATTTAGCTGATGATCAGAAACACTATTCTTCACTTTTGCCTCATTTTATTTTAAGCTGGAAGGCTATTTGTATCCCTTCTCTAAAAAGTTACACCTCTCTGCACATTAGAATTAAATTGTCTTGTATTACTGTACCTTTAAGACTGATCTGAATAGTACGTATATGCAAATGTTAGTAGTTCTTAAAAATGAAAATGCTGTCATGATTTTCAAATTTTCAATTTAGATTGAAAAGAGATCATTTTTACTTCCTTTAGAAGGGACTGAATTTGATGCAAAATAATAAATTAAAAACATTTGAGGCTGTTTATTAATTTTAACCAAGGTACCAGTGCTTGGTGTCAGGGAGTAGAGCCCGACCGGTAAAGGATTTTGAAGGCCGATGCCGATACAAATATTTATTGGTTTTAAAATCCGATATTCCGATATATCGGCCGATATTTTTCAGGAACGTGCAACAAAACGTTAACAGATTCCCCTAACATTAGTTATTTGTAGTTATTTATGAGTTTTAACTAAAATAGTATGATAATGCATTTTAAAAAGAAACTTGTTGATTCTTACTTGTATTACTTTGTATTTATATAAATACAAGAAACTTGTATTTTATTCTTTTATTTTATTCACAACAGAACAGACTGATTATAGTTGCATTAGCTAGCTTTGTGGTTAGCTAGCTAGTCTATGATGAGCCATAATTTAGCAATGATTACATTATACTGTGAATTGTAAAACATACGTTTTCAATATAACAGGCCAAGGAGAGATGATACGTCTCATTGCTATAACGGTCACGCGCTATTAAAGAAATACTTCAGTCACATTGTTAAAAGTTAAAAGGACAGTCAGTCAACTACACTGTAACAACGTAACGTAACTATTACTAGCTAATTCCGCTTCATTCTCGGCTTATTTAACAGCAGCAAACCTGTCTCAAATTTTGTCATGCTTATTTGAGTTAAGAGAACTGATGGGAATGTTCTTTTAATTGTTATTCAAGCAATGTATGTCTCGTGAGCCGTGACCGGTGTAGAGTGCCCTCTGGTGGACAAACTATACAACTTCAACACTCATGACATGGTTCAAGCGTGTTTCGTCCGTTTTTATTTTATTTTTGAAATATTCATTTATCGGCCATTATAACTGCAGTTTGGAAAATGCCTAATATCGACCGTACTGTAAATATCGGCCTGCCGATATATCGGTCTGGCTCTATCAGGGAGAGAGGAAGTTTTGCACTGTGAATGTCTACATAACACCCATTTCAAAAGAGCAAAGAAAAGCTCCTGTCCTGTTTACCATGACTTGTACTATTGCTTCTGTGACTCATGATCTATTTTCACTGTTTCCTGCCATTATATACATCAGTTGGTCTGTGCCGTAAACGGTAGATGCGCTTTCATTGATATTCTTATGCTGAAATGGTCCTATATGAGCCTGAATTTGGCTCTTAATCTTGAACCTTTACCAGCAGCGTCATTTAGAGGGTAGAAATTTGTGGTTCAAATTATTTTCGTATTTGCTTTGAAGTTAGTGATGCCAGGGGGGCTTTGGAAGGGATGCTCCGTATTTGATATTGCTACACTTCATTTGCGAGTGCCTTGAGAAATAAAAGCACTTACTAGTCAGAGCGAAGTTTGTTTAATTCATAACGTCACATTAAATGGCAATTCTAACTGAGACATCTTCATGCAGATTTTCCAGAGCGTGAACAGTATTGACATTCTTAATACCTAATTACTTAACGCCATTTGAGCTTAACTGCTATCATGCGTGGGGTAACAGAACGGCATTAGTTTTAGCCCTTCACTCACACATGAACGTGCACCGGGGTTGTAAAACTGGCTGTCGCCCAATAAAAGGACAATGGAAGAGAGTCGTGCCAAGATGCTACCTACCGCAGTGTCTATAGGAACAGACTTTTTATAGAAACATTATGGGAGACGACTAGATCACAGATTGTTATGCATCACTTAAAGGGATAGTTCTTCCAAAAAATGGAAATTCTGTCATCATTTACTCACCCTCATGTCATATCAAACCACTATGACTTGTTTCTATTAAACACAAGAAACTTACAGTTTGTTTGCTTTTTTTGCTTTGTTTAATTTTGACCCCACTAACTTTCATTGCATGTGCAACTGTAAATACAGAGTTGAATTATCAAAATATCTTCGGAGGATAGAAAGTCAAACAGGTTTTGACATTGAGGTGAGCAAGGGATGAAAGAATTAATATTGTTTAGGAAACTGTCTCTAAGTTTCCATGTTCATGGAAACATGTAAGCTATGCATTAAATATTACAATGGAGTAAAACGACTGTATTTTATAGTCTAAGACAAAGATACTAACATTAAACAGGCCCTTGAATGGCATATTATATTTTAAAGTTGGTTTACTTTATCTTTGGTCAACAGCAAAAGCGTTGCAACAACATTTTAAATTGTGCAACAAATGTTTCAAAATGTCTTTGACTTATCATTTCCTTTAATATCAGTAGATTCACAGCATCCGCTGATATGGGGAAACTCTAGCGTGCAAGCACTTAGCCACAACTGCTTTACTTATTTTAAAATGATCTCTCTCATGTTTTTTTGTCGTTATTTTTTCTCCATTTACATTGTTTGATTATCCCTTAGTCGGATTTAAAGGAGTAGTTCACTTTTAAAAAAACTTTTGCTGATAATTTACTCACCCCCATGTCATCCAAGATGTCCATGTCTTTCTTTCCTCAGTCGAAAAGAAATTTAGGTTTTTGATGAAAACATTCCAGGATTTTTCTCCATATAATGGACTTCAATGGGAACCAAACGGTTCAAGGTCCAAAAGACACTTTCAGTACAAACTGCAAACTGTTCAAAGGGCTTTAAACAATTCCAGACGATGAATAAGGGTCTTATGAAGCGAAACGATCGCTCATTTAAAAAAAAAAAATAACAAAGTTTAAGTTTTATAAGCACAAATGCTCGCCTTGCTCTGTTCTGTGATGCACGTTCGTGATTCTCCTGTTCAAACTCATTTATCAAAATGAACAAATCTTTTTTCATGTCATTTGGTTCATTCAACGAACGAAATGAACGAATTGACTCGGGAAAAGATTTGTTCATTTTGATGAATGTGTTTGAACAGGAGAGTCACAGAACGTGCATCACAGAACAGAGCAAAGCGAGCATTTGAGCTTATAAAACTTAAACTTTGTTATTTATTTATTAAATGAGAGATCGTTTTGCTTGTTAAGACCCTTATTCATCGTCTGGAATCGTTTAAAGCCCTTTGAACAGTTTGCAGTTTGCACTGAAACTGTCTTTTGGACCTTGAACCGTTTGGTTCCCATTGAAGTGCATTATATGGAGAAAAATTCTGGAATGTTTTCATCAAAAACCTTAATTTCTTTTCGACTGAAGAAAGAAAGAAAGAAAGGGGGAAGTAAATTATCAGCAAAAGTTTTTTTTAAAAGTGAACTACTCAAGATACTACTTTTAATATTCAACAATATTCAGAGGTATTTCACTGTAACCACTTTTAAGTAGATGTTAAGTATACCAATCTCAATACAAATCTTTTTTTGAACCTGTTACACAGTATAGCACAGTGTTTTCCCCATCCATATTTATTTATTTGTATAATTTCTAGCCATTGTTAAATGCGTGTGCAAGCAGTCAGATTTGTTTGGTGAACAAGATCCATTTTGTGTGTGAGAAAAGGCCTATGCAAATGGGGCTCTGGCCTATGTACTGTAAACACCCTCACTGAATAGATGCTCAGAATCAAGCAGGTGTGTGCCGTAAGCGAGAGCAAACTCTGAAAGACGGAGCCATACTTTGCACTGCAGACTTTTATTTGGTGCATTGTTTGAATTTGTAAGGTACAGTAATGACCTTAAAAAAAAAACGCCATCTGAAACAGCATCTGAATCCAATTATTTACACCGCTGCCCTCTTCCTTGTGGCAACATGGTTGAAATGAAAGGCGCGGCTATTGAAATATGCCTCGTTAATGTGGTGCGTGCATTTTTCACAAGCTCATTATCAGTTCTGACAGTTTGCTTTTGTATTGCTGTGCTTCATCTGAGAAGTAGACCACAAAAGCCCGGTGCTGTTTGTGTCTTTCATTTGCGCATGAAAATAAACATGCATGATAAATGACTTGAGAACATTAGCTTTGTCCCACAAGGTCCTTTTTAAAATCATCTGGCCCAGCAATCGAAACCATGATAGTGCTTTAATCGTCCATGACACTGAAAATCCTTTCCGGGAGACGATACTTTCCAGACTCCACTCATCGCAAATATTATCCAGTTGTTTTGAGTACCGTCACCGGTAATCCTTCCATCTCAGACTTGGCAGCGCAGTGCTCGAATCTGGCTCTCAGCATCTTGACGGCATTTGATTGGGCTTGCATGAAGGCGAATGCATTTGAGTGACTGTTTCTTCTCCCAAATTCTAGGGCCGCGGAGGACGGGGGTCCATCTTCGTGTGGGCTTCGGGAAACGGCGGCCGCGAGAAGGACAGCTGCAATTGTGACGGCTACACCAATAGCATCTACACGCTGTCGATCAGCAGCAGTACGCAGAACGGCAACGTGCCCTGGTACAGCGAGGCCTGTTCGTCCACCCTCGCCACCACCTACAGCAGTGGAGGCCTCAATGAGAAACAGATTGTGAGTCTCTTTCTCTCTCCGCCTCCAGATAATCAGCACCAGTTATCCTTTAATTGAAGAAGTGGCATAGCTAATCTAATCCAAAAGTCAAGGATCTGAAAACAGTTGGAGTTCAGAAGATAAACCGCCAAGCCAATTTATTAAGAATTGTTGCAGCGCCTTTAAAGTTCTTACAGGCTTTTTGGCTGTCATTGAATACTGCGGTCACTAGTGAGGGGGAAGATAGATGCTTTTGTCTTCATGGCCCTTTAAGCGCTTTTCCAAGCCTTACTCTGTTTAAAAGCCGTGAACGCGGATGTTCTAGGGAATCAAAACCATAAACTCTCTCTATCACTCATGGTTTGTGTTTGCGCTAAATGATTGTTATGTCAAGCATCACAATCTTTATTGTTTATACTTACATCCCTAGCCCCTAGCATTTCACCGTGTCCTAACCAGTCAAAGCGACAAGCCATAAAAGTTACAGTATCTCTTCCTTGTAAATCAAATTGTGCAGCTTAAAGAGCCCCTATCATAGCATTTGAAATGTTCCTATTTTTGTTTTAGGAGTTCCCAAAAACAGTTTAACATGCATGCAAGGATAAAAAAACACTTTATTTGTCTTATAATATGCATTTATTTTTAACTGATTTGCTCACCGACTCCCAAATGATGCGTACAACGACTCATTTTTCAACGACTCAAACCACTCCTTTGTGTGACGCTAATCGGCGGTGATTGGTCAGATGACAGACCCAGTCAGTTATTGTTTGTTAGCATAACGCCTAAACATATTGATAAAGCACTGCAGTACTACAAGGCACTCTATTCTTCATGACAACTCCAATAACAGCGACAAACATTTCACATATTTAAAAAAATTGACATTGGAGACCTAGAAGCTGCGCTGAGCGTAACTTACACACACGCGCGCACACACATACTTATTGCGCCTTCCCTCCTCGTGCCTGACGCTACAAAACCGTACAATACTTACAGGTTGTGATTCGAAAGAGAAAGCTGATCCATATACACTGGGTAAGTAAGTTACTGAGCCCAGGAACAACCGCTTGTGAATCCACATGTTTTTGAACGATACGTAATTAAAATGATGAAAACACAATCGGGCTATTCTGTTGTGGTATTGTTGCAAATATGAACTCTAACCACCGATTCTTCACATGCTCGTCCCTGGTAAATGAAAACAAAGTGGCTGAACTATCTTTGCATTGTAGAACACAGCGTCTTCTCGACATAATGCTATGATGAAGTATTTGAATGTGTAGACTTCAAGTTTACACTTCCGTCTGCATGCGCAGTAATTGGGCGCGGCCAGTATGTCTCTACGTCATGATGTAACAGCTAATGACTCGTTTCAAAAACAATTCATTTCAAAGACTCAGAGTCGACTCTCACTTTTGAAGGACAATAACTTTATATACGGTGCACTTTCAGATATAAATCTTTGCAGGATGTTTTCATTCCCTTAGAGCTATATTCCACACCATATGAACAGTCATTTTCAAAAATCCATGATAGGGGCTCTTTAAGGAGAGGTGTTCTATTACTTTTAAGTATCATACTTACAATTTTGGCATCTCAGATGATAAAATTGGAAAAAGGATCATTGAAAGACCATATCTAGAGACCAGAATATCATGGAGATTTTTAGGTGGCAACTCGATCCAGTAGGCAACTACCCACGGGCCAGATTCACATGTGTTCTGAAATATTTCCTCAAGAGTGTCTTGTTTTTCTACACAGACAGACTAATGGTGATTTCAGATTGTATGGTGGGTCTTGCCAAAGACTCGCTCATCGACTCAATGCCATCGTTTTCCATTGCTTGCAGATTACTGTAATAATCAAAATAAGCGCGCACACTATTTTTGTTGTGACTGGCTTGGCAAGCGATCAGTGTCACCATTTTTAATGTGCCTTGTCCTAGTTATTTTTAAATAACTTGTCTCAAGATGGACATGCTATTGCTTTCATTTGCCCTTCGTCTTTCTTGTGCCTCCTGTGTATGTGCTGAATGCTGCTGAAAATTCTGCCATAATTTCATCAAATTAAACAGAGACCCCTATTTGACTCATCCATTCAGCAAAAATGTATGTTGCACATAATCAAGACCGATCATTGTGTACATAATCAATCATTGGTGTCACTTAATATTACTGGTGCACACCACTAGGAATAGTATTATATGAGCCTGTTACATCCTTGTGTTGTGTGTGCATGTGTTTCTTTTCTCTTTCTGCTTCACACTTTAGATTAGGGTCCAAATTCTTACTATTAACTCACTATCAACTATGACTTTTGCCTGAATAAACTCCTAATTATTGCTTATTAATAGTTAGTAAGGTAGTTGTTAAGTTTAGGTATTGGGTAGGGTTAAGGGATGCTGAATATGGTCATGGATAATACAATATAATGTGCTTTATACACACCGGTACTAATACACAGCCAAATTGGATCCTCGTGAGAATTGGATCCTAAACTAAATTGTTACCTTTATATGTAGCTGGTGTTATATTGTAAGGATTACGACAACAACTGAAACAACCCAATAAATTCATTTAACGTCTTACCTTTCGGAATTTAAAACAAGTTGGAGGTTATCGAACTTGGTTAATTACGATGGTTTTTCAGCACTTTTCATGAATACAAATTCTTTCTAAGAACCACTCAGAACATCTTAGAAACCCCAAAGCAACACCCTTGGCATAGTGACGATGGCATTTACATGAGCAAGCAACGCTCTCGTGCTCTTCAGCAAATGTTCTACTCTACTTACAAAACAAGAAAATCCTTCAAAACAATACCTCACTGTCATAGCATGACATTTTCTTTGCTCTTTTTTTCGGTTTTGTTTCCTTACCCGGCTCAGTGCCGACCGAGGCACACACCCAAGCATTGTTTTCATAACCGGCTGTGCCTGACTGAGTCATCCATTGTCCAGCGTTCAAGACACAGACACTACTGTTCACAATGGAGGTGAGCTTCTAAAGGACAGAAGCCTGATACACCCGCTGTTTTCCTTGCAGCAAAAACTCTGCCAGGCGATATCCCTCTCATTTTTAAGTGTACAAATTTTGAGTTATCCTGTCGTCGCTCCTGTCATTCAGCCCCTCTGCCATTTTAAGCAATTAGTCTCGTGCAAGGAGGTCTGTCGCAGTCAGTGCACATCCTATGATGCCTGGCTTTTTAAGTGTCACCCATCAACCCTTTTGTGTTTGCATTTGTCTAGCTTTGTCTCAGCTCTGTCTGTGTGACCCTGAGGGCTTAAAGATGCTGTGCTTTTACCCTGAAGTATCGGAAATGTCAAACATTTAACTGAACCACCTGGGTCACTTTACGGGTTTAAACTAAATGCATTTTTTTTACACGTTCAGAATAATATGTGAGTGCTGCTTGGCCATGCAGATGCTACTGCTGTTGCTTGCGAAGGCATTGGTATGCAGTTGCTAGAAAGTTCTGGGTGGTTGCCTACTGGCCCAAGTGGAAAGAGTCCAATTCCCAAGTCTCTATGAAATTCTGGTCCCCAGTCTGTTTTTTTTTTCCCCCACATGATTTGTCTGCTAAAATTGAAAAGCGAAAACAGTCACATTAAAATTTGATACTAAGTGTAATGTGTTTGTTCGATTTCCTGATTGTAAGTAAGAGCAATAATAATAGAGATGCTAGACACCATTAGCAAGATTGTTAAAGGAGTCATGAATGGAAAAAAAGTTTTCCCTGATTTTTTGACTACCAGTCAAAAATGTCAAATTTAGTGCTGTCAAACGATTCAAATATTTAATCGCGATTAATCGCATTAATGTCGTAGTTAACTCGGGATTAATCGCACATTTTATTTTTATCTATTATATGTATTATGTCTCTTGATTTCATTTTAAAGCTCTTATCAACATGTAAAAGTGGATCAGCTTGTTTTTATTGAAAACAACATTGGCATACTACGGAGCCCCTCTAGTCCCACTTTGGTAAAAAAAAATTAATTATAACTATCTTGTGGCCTCAAGATAGTAACTCGTGGCCACAAGATAGTACTATCTTGTATAATACTTGTATAATACTATCTTGAGGCCACGAGTTACTATCTTGAGGCCACGAGTTACTATCTTGTGGCCACGAGTTACTATCTTGAGGCCACGAGTTACTATCTTGTGGCCACGAGTTACTATCTTGTGGCCACGAGTTACTATCTTGTGGCCACGAGTTACTATCTTGAGGCCACGAGTTACTATCTTGTGGCCACGAGTTACTATCTTAAGGCCACGAGTTACTATCTTGAGGCCACGAGTTACTATCTTGAGGCCACGAGTTACTATCTTGAGGCCACGAGTTACTATCTTGAGGCCACGAATTACTATCATGAGGCCACGAGTTACTATCTTGTGGCCACGAGTTACTATCTTGAGGCCACGAGTTACTATCTTGTGGCCACGAGTTACTATCTTGTGGCCACGAGTTACTATCTTGAGGCCACGAATTACTATCATGAGGCCACGAGTTACTATCTTGAGGCCACGAATTACTATCATGAGGCCACGAGTTACTATCTTGAGGCCACGAGTTACTATCTTGAGGCCACAAGATAGTTATAATTAATTTTTTTTTACCAAAGTGGGACTAGAGGGGCTCCGTATACTGTTCAATTTCACTCTAACATTTTCACTTGGAGCAAATAATCTCTCAAACAATGTAACACTTTCCGTCAATAAAAGGGTGAAAGAAATACTGACGAGGTCCTGATATTGACGAGGGGGTGGAGAATTCGCATCAACTGTGTGTGTGTGTGTTCTTGGCAATCAAGTGGTATTTCAGACTGGACGTGCTGCGATGATGATAGCTGTAGCTCAGTTCACAACGACAAAACACACTTGTCAATTGAACTATTTGGCAACTTTTTAGTAAAGTAAAGTTTCCATTCAGAATCTTATTGGCATCCATTTCGCCGTCTCACGCTCGTCATCCACTCAAAACGTAACGTTAACCAATTATTTGGCCGGCTCGCAAGCCCAAACAAGTGTGTGCGGCATGCATGTTTTTTTTTTTCCCGTCTAGCTAGATCCGCTTGCGCTTTGGTCGACGAAGCAACAAAACGTCCTCCCTGTGCGGTGCAAGCCATAGAAATTAATGGGTTTCATAGCGCAGTGCCACGCATGCCGCGTCCTGTTGCAAAAGCATATGAAAAAAACCTACAAAGTTTGCTAGGCCAAAAAGACTGTTAATCGCGCAATAAAAGAATTGACGCCGTTAAAATGGGTTTGCGTTAACGCCGTTAATAACGTGTTAAACTGACAGCCCTAGTAAAATTATTTTGAAAGGTCTCTTATCATCACTAATGCTGCCTGCATTTATTTAATGAAAAAAACAAAGTAGACTGTGATGTAAACGAATTCCTTAAAGACTTTTTGTTTGAAAAGAGACGCATGTCTCTTTAAAAGGTGTGTTTAAACCAGAACGCTAAAGTCAGGGTAGAAAATGGCCTTTAATTACACAATTATGACAGTTTTTGATGTAAAAATCCTACTAATATTATCATTGCACATCAGGAAACATTATCAAATAATTTTGAGAAATGCAGTGACTTCATTGTCATGCATCTGGAATAATTAGATTTTTCATATCAATGAGGTCTCGCTCTACTTCCTGTTTCAGGTCACTACAGACCTCAGGCAGAAGTGCACAGACTCCCACACAGGCACCTCAGCCTCGGCCCCACTGGCGGCAGGAATCATCGCCCTCGCCCTTGAGGCCAAGTAAGTCTTCCGATGCATGTCTGTTCTGTCCTCGAGCGAGGTCATATATCTTCCAGCTCTTTGAGTGACTGGTGGCTTTTGAAATAAAATGGCTCTTGGCTAGATTGGCTGACTGGAATTAACCTTCAAATTCTCATTTGGACCAAATGCATGCATTGAGTGGCAGTTTTTATTTATATAGTTTTAAATGAATTCAACAGCAACAGTATAACCTTTATGACTCTACCTGTAGCTATCAGTGACCTTTATAAAAGGGCAGAAGAGATTTTTTTGGAGAGCTGCGAAGCATGTAGGCAGTTTTGAGTTTCGTTCCACCTTGTATCTCATGTTTGAAAGGCACTAACAGTTTGACTTGTCTCTGCAGTAAAAACCTAACCTGGAGAGACATGCAGCATCTGGTTGTGAGGACGTCAAACCCTGCCCACCTCACCACCAATGACTGGAAGATAAATGGTGTGGGTCGCCGAGGTAAAAGCCCATCTCGTTGCTTTTCATTGCTCCCTCCCTTTTCCTTTCCCTGCGGTGTTTCTTTCCACTTTTCAGCTGCTTGAACGTTTTGTGATGTAATCGATAACATTATCATTGGCCGCACCAATTGGCAAACAGCTCTGGATCTCTTAATGATATCAGCCTCTTTAATTCACCTCGTTACTTATAATGTCAGTCTTTTAAACTGCCTTTATAGTTTCTTTCAACAGTATTGATTTTTTCTCTCTGTCCTACAGTAAGCCATTCTTATGGATATGGTCTGCTGGATGCTGGGGCTATAGTGTCTCTGGCAAAGAACTGGACAAATGTTGGACCTCAGCAGAAGTGTGTCCTTTCCCTGGTGTCTGAGCCCATGTAGGTTAAACCCTCCATACTAGATCACAGGCTTAAAGGGGTTAGTTCACCAAAAAAAAAAGGCAATTCTGTCATCATTTTTTCACCTTCACGTTAATCCAAACCCATGGGAGATTTTAGACTGAATGTTCACTCTACTGTTTTCCATCCAGTGACCAGGGGCTGAAACAAAAACACCATAAAAAACTTTTTTTTTTTTTCACTGGTCAATTTTGAGATTTTGGGCTATTTGAATTCAATAACATGTCTTCTTTCAGACTTTTGGTAAAACAAGTCCGCGATTGCTGTCTTCACCCTGCCGTCACATATACCGTTGGAAAGCTCTCTCTCTCTTACAATGTTGTTGGATCCAAATAGGTTAATTTCCTTTTTTTATCAGTAACCAATCGTGAAGTTACAATGGGGCATTGAACTCATTTTGGTTAATTTTCGAAATCTCATTGGCTGATGTCAATTCTTTAAAGGCCGTTTTCTCAAAATGGGTTTTTTATCATACTCTGAGTCTGAGCCAAAAACCTCACTTCAGCAGCACTTACATACACCAAACTTTCCAGTTGTATTCCTATCTACATTCTTAAGGTTTTTACAGAGAGGTTTGATCATATATCATTCAAATTCTGATTTATACAACATTTTATACCTAAAAACGGGGCAATTTTTTTAATTGAGTGATAAAAAGAATAATTCAGTGATAAAAAGAGAAATCCAAAATCCCCTCTGTAAAAAATTTTCACTCTATTGTCAAAAATATGAAGCAAGAATTTTGAATCTGGCTTTTTCCAATGTTCAGATTTCTCTTCTGGAAATTATGCAAGGTAGTGCATATTTAATGAGATAATGCCTAATTTGCATTTTTAAACATAAGTATTCTAAGAACTTGTTATACAAAATATATTTGTATTAATGTCAGTAATCAACTGGGGAAGTTTCATGCTGATATCTAATAGTTATTTGTATTTTTTTCCTATTAATCTGGGGTGTCTTAAATAGCTTAAAACAAACTTAATATGACTTGGAGTTTGACAGCCTTAGTCTTCTTTCACTTTCATTGCATAGATAAAGGCCTGATTTTTGTGATGCAGAAAATACAGATGGAATCTCTGAAATATAGTCTTAAAAATTGTGTTGTATTTCATAGAATTTGAAATATTTTTTTCATTTTCATTTTCATTTATTTTCTATTCTCTCTTTTCATGGTAATGCAACACGAAATACCACAAGAACAATTTAACAAATCAAACCAACACAAAGTACATTCCATGACAAAGAAAAGAACAGGAGTAGGATGAAGAAAAAAATCTTATAAGCTCCTACCCCATTCCTATAAACAAGATTCACAAATTAGATGACCTCACCAACATAAAATGACAAACAACAGAAAACTTAAAGAAAAAAGAAAAATATATATATACACATGCACATACACATACATATACGACAAGCCCAAACCAGATATAATCTACCTTCAATTATAACACATTTTTCTCTCTTTGTCTATTATTATTATAATTAATATTATTATTATTATCTATTAATACTAATTCTGCTTACATGATACTAGATAAAGAAAAACCAACAAGGATAAAATAATGACAGATCCAACAGCCAAAATAGCAACGAAAGCATAATTATTGTAATAATTCTATTAGTTTTCACATTCTTCTTTATAGACTTTAAGTATCTTTTGTTTATAATTATTTTTAAATTGTAAGATATTTGAACAACATTTTAGATCATTTTGAATGATATTAATCAAAAGCACTGCCACACAGTCTAATTTAAGTCTGATTCCTGGTTTAGTCCAATTGTCAAACCAATAGAATAGAAATCCATTGTAAAATTACAAATGTCTTTTGATTTAATATAAGTTATTTTTTTAAAATTGTGATTCCATACTTTTGAATTGGTAGTGTTTATGAAAAATATGATTATATTCCAGTTACAATCAAAATTATTCAACCACCAGTACAAATGTTTATTGACAAAATGTACAGACTTTCAGCTGTTTGCAATGAACAAATCTGACAAAAGTAATTGAAATAGCTCAACACAACAAATGTTTCAAGTTTTTTCCCGAAGCTCAACTGAAAATGCAACTTTTAGTGATTTCTAATAATTCTGGGGGGAAAATAAGTCCTGAATTACAAACCTAAAAACTCATTTGGTCTTCCACGGATGGAAGTCAGTTGTACAGGTTTGAAACAACATGGGTGAATAAATTATGACAATTTTCATTTTTGTGTGAACTAAACCAGGCATAATAGATGAAACTGCTGTCTTAATCGATTCCACACTAACATGTGGCAAACTGAGGTTCTTTAGCGCACACGACTGGGATGATGTTTTAAATTTAGTGCTGCTAAAAAGGTCAACGGAGTGCACGAGGAAACGAGGTGGGAGCAAAACATCACGTTTGAAGGTCTATTACGTTTAAATTTAGAGCTGGGCAACTTGAATGATGCTTCAATGCATGAAGCATTTCCACTTCCTGCAGAGCATGTTTATAAGAGGTAATGACTTGCAGATAAGCTTGTTAGATCCATGTTCGTCACACCATCACAGCTGACATCTTGGAACTCAAGACGGACCCTCAAAGTGCTTCTCCAATCTCGTCCTCTCACTCAGCGTATCATGTCTGTCTCTAAAAATGCGCCCTCTTTTTATCCCGTCTCCCAGTTATCCTTTATGGTTCACCAATGTCACGGAAAGATCAAGGGGTTTTGGAGCAAAGCCCAATTTAACATGCTGGTTGCAGAAGTCACAGAGCAAAGTGATTACGGTCTGCCTCACTTTGGCTCTGCCGTACATCTGTTCATTTTTCTGCTTGCAACATCTCCGACTTGAAGCCTTGCACAGAGGGGGTTTACGCTTCATTCCTCATGGACTTGTCAGAGGCTGTAGCCTGTCGTTCTTTCTCTTGATTTAAGCTCTTCTTCCTGTGTTACCATGTCTCTGGTGAGCAGGGCCGAGCCAATCTAAGCTCCTTACAGGATTCGGCTTAGTGCCAGAAGCCTACTGGCTCCTGTTGCGTTCATTGGTGGCACAAGTCTTAACCTGGCTCAACTTTTCTGATGTACCAGGAATGTGTTTTGCACCCTTCAATGTTATAAACAAAGGTTGAGACAGCATAACCCTCCTGATTCAGTAAGATATTTAACTTGTTAGGAGATTCTGACAAGCAACTTTGTTTCTTTGCACTTACGATCGCTAAAAGTAGATGTATGATTTGAATTAATTTTATTTTAAATATGTGGCTGGCTATTTTACAGCTCCCTGTTAGTGCTCTTTGCAATTTGTAGCAAATTTTAGATTTTTGTAAATTAACTTCAGTTTGTTTTTCATAATAACATTGATGATGATATAATAATAATATTGGGCTGCAATAATAATCACTGCATTTAGACCTTTAAATATAAAACGTAGAGCTGTGAATCTTTTGGTTTAACGGCGAATCGATTCGATTCACGATTCATAGGTTTTCGATTTGATTCAAGAACCATTTGTGCAAATTCAGAATGAACCAATTCAATGCGATTCACATCCAAATTCGATTCGATTCTTAATTTTTTATATGCATTATAGGATTATTTCAATGCTTCACCCAATGGGTCTTTGTCTGGGTTTGAATTACACAGCGGCCTTCGGGGGTCAGAAATTGGGGACAAAAAACAACAACGACATTTTGTCCATTGCCAATGTTAGTTCATGTTTTTTAATTTTAATAAATATATTATTATATAAAAAAAATCAATGGCCTACAAATTACCATTGAAATGGTCTATAACTATTTGTATTTAACAGTATAACTTTCTGGGGTTTTTTTTTTTTACAATTCTTGAACATGTTTTGCTTAATGACTTTAATCCTATTATTTGCCTGTTTTTAGGAATATTGGAAGTCATTTGGTGATCACAAAAATCGTGGATGCATGTACTGGAACGGCCAACTTTGTGAGCTCATTAGAGCATGCTCAAGCCCAGCTCACCCTGTCTTACAACCGCCGAGGAAATCTGGCCATCTACCTGATCAGCCCACAGGGCACCCGCTCCACACTGCTTGCACCCAGGTTAGCCATTGAAACATAGTACTTCCATATAACATTTCTCCGTGATGTGAGCAGCTTCACACGGTCTAACATTCCTCTCTCTCTCACAGACCTCACGATTACTCCTCTGAGGGCTTCAATGACTGGGCTTTCATGACCACCCACTCCTGGGATGAAGATCCTCGTGGAGAATGGACGCTGGAGATCGAGAATGTGGCTGGGACCACCGACTATGGTAACATCTCGTCCATCTATTATGCATTATTTTTTTATTCCATTTATGGTGCTCATACAAGAGATGAATCAAATCCAGCATATTTTATTTGGACCTCCAACATCCCCTCATGTCAGATTTCACACAATCTTTCTTCTATATACTTCTCAACTAATAAAAAAAAAAACATGCCAAAACTACAATGCAAATGATAATAAAAATCAAATAAAAAAACATAATCCTTTAACATGATTAAAAAGAGTCAGACATTGATTGTGGTCCAAAAAAAAAAGTCTCTTTTTTTATGTCTCCCAGTGCTCCGCATTTCACAGAAGTGTAGGGAGTATCTTCTCTCCAAATCCGCCTGATTTGCCAAATCCTGTTTTCTTCCTCTTTTATGTCACAGTCAATTTGTCTTCCTTCACCACACCCTGCAGTAAATCTGATTAATTAAATCTAGCTAAGTAAATCAGAGGACTGAGTTTTTTTTTCTCCCTCTCCAGCCGCCACTGAACGCTGTAAATATAGAGCGACTTCCAGCCAAACCCCATTCTTTTGTCCTACCCAGACACTAACATAACTGCTTTATGCCTGGATTGAACGGACCACCAGTTCAGTGCATTACCTAGTCCATTTCTCTTTGTTGCTTTAAGAATTTACAGAGCTACTGACTTTATTGGGCTATGTAGAGACTAAATGGGCCATCAATCTAATGCATGTCGAAGCGATGCGGCACCACTGTTACTGAACGATGATGATTTGCGATGATCAGATTTGTATCTTCTGAGTGATTCATGTTAGTGGGCACAAAATTACATATAGGTACAGATGTTAATCTCCAATCAGACATTTTCAAAATAAAATGAATTGAATAATTAAATACAAGTGTAGAATAGTAATGGAGTTTATTTTGCATTTGAATCATTTTGTTCTTAAGACATGGCTACTTCAGTAGAATTTAATATTCCAGAAGACCCTATGTTATTCCTATATTATGTATTAGAATCTTCATATAATTAAAGCTGCAAGTGGAGATGAAAGGGCCCTGGCACCACCACCACCCTGGCTTTAGGAATGCTATAGGAGGACTACGTAAAAATCGCTTGTATTTTACACTATGATTTTACCACACTTCCTGCTGCCAGCTGGTGGCGCAATGAATAGAACAAAATCTTTGTAGATGTCTACCGGCTGGGAGTTTGGGTCACAACAACTTCCTATTTTATTGGTTTAATAGCATGCTTAATCACTTTGCTAAAGGTCTTATTAAACGTTTAAAGTTTGGGGCAAATTGGACATTGTTTTTCGGAGTTACAGCAACTTCCTTTTTCATGGCGAAACATCAAAGTTTGTCAGGCCGCCAGGGATCGTCACAATTTAACATCGCAAAGGCCTAAAGATTGCACTTACCTAATTTGAAAATGATCCGATTAAGACTGTCGGAAGAGTTTGGTAAAGTACGACGCCTGAAAATGGCAAAACTGCATAAAAATCGCAGAGGAAAATTCAAAATGGCTGACTTCCTGTTGCATTTAATTCTCCAAGAGAATTTTTTTTAGGTGTTGGGACACAACCTGTTTCGCACACATACGAGAAACGTAACATGAGGGGCGCTGCTTTGAAATGATATAGGTGGTGCTATCGAGCCGTTTTGCCAAACCCATATCAGAAGTAAATTTTCGCCAGTTCTGACGCATTTGCCGTTTCATGAGTTTTCATGAGTTCACGAGCATGTTTAGGCCCTCAAAAATTCGAATCATTTTGGACTAGAAGAAGAAACACCATTGCTGTTTGGGCCCTAATAATAATAACAAACGGAGCAATTCCACGAGGACTTGAACTGATTTAGAGTTATTACAGAGAGAACACAGACATGATGATTCACAAATGTCAACTCTTATCATTTCTTGTGTCACACGAGTGTGACTCTCTTTCTGTCTGTTTTAGGCACTCTGACTCAGTTCACACTGGTTCTCTATGGCACGGCTTCTAGTTTATCCGGCCCTTCAGCAGCTGACTCCAGCCAGACCGCTGACAGCAGCTGCAAAACCTACGACCTCAGTCAGATCTGCACAGGTAAGTGTAAAAGATGGTGAAAGTGCGCCCCCTGTCAACTACTAATGGGATTTACTAGCTTTCCTCTATAACTCCAGATAGTTTTTTCAGGTGCAGACTTGATTTATCAAAATGGTATGGTACATTATCCACATTTTCATGCATGAAACACCTAGATGACCTTTTGCAAAGGTGTGCAGTAAAGTACACTGCACGTAATCTTGACTATTTGCCAGCCATTTTACACAAAATGTCATTAAAAAAAATATTTTTTTTTCTTGCAATGCATTGTCCTGCAACAACAATGTAGCATGCTACTATTTGAAATGTGTATCACTGTGCAATTTCTTTAGCTAGCTAAGAAATAGACGGCAGTGTATACTGCTCAATATGCTTTACTCTGGTTTTCCATTAGGAACACAACCTTTAATGTTGTTTAAACATCAGACTAGTTGTGTGTTGACTAGGGTTTTGTCCATTAAGATGTCCATAAGATTTGTTTCATAAGATTCAGCAAGGATTCTTGCTTCTTTCTTGAGCGGCAAATCAGCATGAATGATGTCGCACTGTGACACCGAAGACAGGAGTAATAATGTTGAAAATTCAGCTTTACATCACAGGAATAAATTACATTTGACAAATAGAAAAACAGCTTAAACGAATAATATTTCACATGTACTGATTTGATTTTATTGTTGATCAAATGAATGCAGCCTTAGTGAGCTTATGGGACTTTTGAATGCTAGTCTGTTTTTACAAAATGTTTCTACTAATTAATTAATAAATAATGGGTTGTAAATGTGACCCTATCTCCCCAATAATTTAATGCTTTAAAAATAAAGCTATAAACTTTACAGCTGTGTTTATAGGTCCCTTTTGCTTGTCTTGAGTGTGTTGCGCTGGTCACGTCTTAGCTGTTAAATTGTGTGTTCATAACTCCATCCTGTAGTTAGTTCACAGTGCCAGCTGCATTGGCAGCCGTGTTCAAGGCAGCTGTCCAGTTTAGCCTGTGGCCATGCCCCTCATGTGGCCACTCACTGCCAGCTCATTCTTACACACACACACACACACTCACTTACTTACCACTTCTCTTTCAGCAGTTTTCCTCCTTTCCTTTTTCTCTCCTACTTTCCTGTCCTTCTCAAAATGATGCCTTAAGAATGCTGAAAAGATGGTCTTCATTTCTTTATTTGTGTACTGTGATGACCAGAGGAGTGTGTAGTTCATTTCTCTCCAAAAAATCAGATTCTTAAAGCCTGTTTACACTTAGTGTAATGCAGTTTAGACTTTTATTCAACCTTGCTTATTCCGGCCTAGAACTGCCCTCTTAAACCTTAAGAGACGTCTGACCGACGCGTAGAGTAACCAGTGGCAGTTTTTCGTGTGTCATATAAGAACGGGTTTATCTGCAATAATGCCCCAGCTTTGACCAGGGTATCTGCGGGGTCTTGAAAAGTATTAAAAGGTGATAAACCAATTTTGGGAAAATTAAGACCCTTAAAAAGTCTTATCACGGCTTTATAAAGTATTTGAAAGTATTTTTTTCTGAATTTGCTGTCCAACAGTTTGAGTCCCAAAAACATCATAAAAGTGTGTGAATTTAGTCATTTTTGTTAAAAAAAACGAACAGATACTTAAAAAACTAGGCTATTGTGGGTGTGTTCATAAATTGGCAGGTGGGCGGAAGTTCAAAAGCACAATGTACGCTCTGGCGTTCCCAGTGCGTATTACAACGCACCGAAATGTTTTAAGAGAAGGTTGGTGAACGCATGAACAGAATGGGGAAGTTTTTTAATAAACTTTGCTTTGATTTACTACCCCAGCCGTTTTGATTTTTTGTATCAGAGTGGTCTATAGTCTTTATCACAAACTAAAACTGTTACGGTAAAAGTATCACTGATGTAAATGGTTATAGCTTGAAGTGGTGGTGAGGTATTAAAAAATATTGAGAAGGTCTTGAAAAAGTCTTGAAAAGGTATTCAAATGAACTTCAAGATTCCTGCAGATACCCTGTTGACAACACATTCTGTATAAAGCACTCTTTGCCAGTAGTGTTAATTTCATCAGCTATTTATTAGCGTCAGTCCTGTGTCAAATGTCCTTTTTAGTTTTTATCATATGTAGTCGACTAAATGTCTGAGCATTTTAGTCTAGTTTTAATCAATCAAACTTGGTCACATTTTCACAATTTCACTCAAAATTAAAATCGCCATGATTGTTGTCATGTCGTTTGCAAAAATTTTTTTTTTTTTTTTTTTTTTTACATATTTTTACTTTTCATTATTCGTCAAGTTGATTTAATACAGCTTAGACAATTTTCTGCTTCTACTGAAGCTTTATAAACGATAAAAGTTTACTTTTCTTCCTCCTCACGCAGAGTGCAACCCCGGGTTCTACATGTACCAGAAGGGCTGTGTGAGAGACTGTCCAGCCGGATTCACCCCCGTCACCCATTCCGTCTTCCTCCCCAACAATGAGGTGTCGCCCGTCCTCCACCCCACCTGCCTGCCCTGCCACCCGGTCTGTCTCACCTGCAGCGCCCCCGGGTCTCAGGACTGCCTCTCCTGCCCACCTCACAGCCACCTGGACGCCGTCACCGGCTCCTGTCTGCATCAGAACCAGATCATGCGCGAGTCTCCGGACGGCGGACTGTTTCAGATGCAAGGTGACGGCAAAACCCCGAAAAACCACGCCGAGCTCGCCTCTCGCCTGCCTGTTACCGTGGCGGTGCTCAGCTGTGCCTTCATCGTGGCCACGTTTGTTGGTGTGTTCGGCTTGCTGCAGATGCACACGCGCAACCAGAACAAACTGCAATCTGCCGAAGTGGGGCCGGGATCCGGATTACTGGTCGGGTTCGGATTGAACCGCACCGCAGTTGCCTATAAAGGCATCCCAAACGTTTGGCGGGAGGACGAGGGCAATACCGAATCTGAGAACGAGGAATTCGAGATCCACAACGAGAGGACTGCCTTCATCAAAACACAAAGTGCTCTTTAACTACGTTCCTCCCCTCTCTAGCCTCTACTGCACTGTTGTCTCTCTCTCTCTCTCTCTCTCTCTCTTTTTTTTTTTTTTTTATGTGTTTTCATTCTTTGGTTTGTCTGAACACTTTTGGGGCATTTTGATTTGTTTTTCGCACCTGTCTTAGTTATATTATCCATGATTCACCTGGGCGTTGACCTCTCGGTGCCTCAACATGGAAAGCTTCCAAACGCAAGCGAAGGGTGACGAGTCGAAACTACAATAAACATGACTATTGTTTGGTCTCTTCCTCCTGCCTAGTGAGATTTAAAGAAAAACTAAGATTGAAATATTTGCATACGAGAAAATCAAAGCTTTTCAGTGTGTGAGTGAGTGAGTGTGTGTGTGTGAGTGAGTGAAACTACGTTTATATGAAGTCAATCAATGCTGCAGTGGGTCGGATCCACTGGCTTTGCGCAGGGAGCCTTTTAGAAGAACATATCACTAGTTGTACATGGTCAGAGATGGAGAGCTGCATGTTGTCTTAAACATACTTATAGAGCTTACTACTCCACCTAGAGCATCTGCATCGCTAAATTCATGATTTTTCTTTTATGTAGGCTGTTTAGTGAAACGCTTCTCCAAAAGATAAAACCATTATCATCGTTATTTGCTATCTTTTTTACCCTCATGTGATTGCAGGCCTTCATGACTTTTTGTCAGGTCTACATGGTGTCCATTTCTACTAAATATAATGGGGACTAGGGCTTTTCAATCTCTAAAATGACTGTTTTGTCAGTTGTTTATTGAAGTAAAGTCAAAATGTGCTCTAGTATATTTATATAAATTTGGGTGATTGGGGCCATTCACATGTGTGTACCATAAAAGTTTTTTTTTTTTTTTTTTTTACTGATCTCTGTGCTACAGTATATTCTCAAATGTCATTCACTTCAAAGTTGGCTCATCAAAATCATGACATCAAAACTTAATATGATTTTATATATCATATTAGAAGTAAACTTGAGCAGGAAAGGCATTTGAAACAATGCACAGGTGTGCTGTAGAATATTATCATACTTAAATTCCAAAATAATTTCCTCATGTAAAATTAATATGATATCAAAAGGCTCTTTTTTTGATGCACGATAGCCTCTATCCTTGTTTATTTTGTGAAAAATGACTTGTGTTTTATTTCAGCAAGATCTCATGCAGGTTTGAAAAGACATGAGTAAGTGAATATGGTAAATATTTCGATTTTTGTGTGAGATATTGCGCTCTTTGACCGTATGCAAGGAAGAAACTCTGATGTCGGCCAGCCTCTCCGAGCCAATTTAATTCTGTCCTCCTGTCAAGGGTTTGAAACACTAGAAAAGGTCTTTGCTGAAGGCGCATCCTGAAAGGACCTGGCTTCTGTTTTGTAATGTTATAGTGATTATATATTAGAGGTGTTAGAGGTTGTGTTCTGCCCAGTATGGGTGTCTTTTTGAAATTAATCACAGAAAGGTCTCTAATGACTACCAGATATCAGTTAAAATTGGTTTGTTTTATATGCTCAACAGTCACCTCATCAGGTCATTTTCTTTGCTTACTACTGTTTATTATTAGTCATTTGCTTGGCCTTGTCAGCTCATCTGCAACTTTCCAGGAATATAGTTGTGTTTCTGTATTTTTCTGAATCACATATTCATGATATGTTGATCATATGCAGTATCTTTACAAAATGACAATGTAATATATCAAATCTGTGCAATAGAGACCCAACAGGGTTATGTGATTTTATGCTGATAGAGTTGGAATCATATATCATATCAGTGATTTGCGATAACTGTTGAGCATGAACAGCCTCTCCAGACCATTGAAGGACAGCGCTGTGGCCAGTCCACAAATGACTTGCACCATCCTCAGCCTTGCCTTCGTTTAGTTGAGTAGGGTAACCGATTTTTACATTTTTGTTTTGTTTTACATTATCGATGCATCAGATGCACTGCTCATCTTATCTTATAATGAAATGTGTCTTGTTTATCTACACACTTGCGATTTTACAATAATGTCAACCGCTCTGAGCTCTTTCACCCCCTGCAGTAATGATTTGATGTTGTGTGTTTTGGAAAGCCTTAAAGTGTGCAAAGGCATGACCAAAGACCACCTGATGAAAATCTGCTTGCCTTAGAGTAATAGCATAACCTGAAAAAAACTAAAACTTTCTTTTTTTTTTTTTTTTTTTTTTTTTTGAGGTTAGTCACAGTTTTGAATTGGGTCACACATTTAGGAAATGCTTTGAATAGGCTGTTGAATGACAAATTTAAGCAGGGTGGGTTTTGGTCAAAATGCTGGTGTTGTGACAACAGTTCTTGCATTAACCATACGCAATATGCTTTCACCCTGATGGTGCAATGGTTGTGTTGTGCTTTAAGAGCGTGTGTGTGTGTGTGTGTGTGTGTGTGTGTGTGTGTGTTCAGACTCAACGAGAACTTTCTAGACTCATAGGATTATTTTCACCTTTTTATTTTGAAGAGTCAACTGATGCATGAAGATCCCCAAGTAGAAAACACCATTCATTTATATGACTACCTGAGACGGGACAACGATATAAAAAAAAAAAATAAGGCCTATTTTTGTACTATATATGGTGCATTGTCATTTACATGTAATTTAAAGATTATTTTGCTCTTTTTATTTAATTGATGTCAATATGCGAATTAAAGATTATACAAAAAAATAAAGATCTATGCAAACTTCATAATTTTTCTTTGTGAGCTCTTTATTACATTTTCTGTAGGTCAGACAATCTTGTAGTCCACAGTTTTCGGAGATTGTGTATGAACAAAGATTTTATAATAATAGTAGATGGCTAAATTTGTCAAAGGTAGCCTACATGTGACATTTTAAAGGTTTCCAGAACTGCTTTGCTAAGGCAGGTCTAGCATCCTGTTGAGGTTGAATTGTGAGTTGAAATGTCTTCAAGATTTCTGCAGAAATAAAACAATTTACTGACTGGTCAGCGCCTTGGAAATTATTTGAAACGTGATTGGAAAATCCAATGAAAATGAAGACAGAACAAAACATTTCAGACTTTGCCAGTTTTGCAACAAAAGTGGACTTCCAGAGGACTTCCCTCAGTTAGTGCAATATTATATCATGATGCAAAATATGTGTAATCCTCAGCAAAACATGCTCACTGAGAAAAATGAATCATCATCGTTTTTGGCCAAAATATTCAATCATGAACGTGGTATGACTGCTAGATCTTTTGTTGCTATCTGATGTGAGCATTTCTTATTAAATGAACTTGTAAAAGCTACCAACTTACCAACATACAGTGTGTGTGTGTGTGTATATATATATATATATATATATATATATGACTTCTCTAAAATATATCCAAGATTCATTTCTATAGTAGGCTATTGTCCCTTTAGGTTTAGAAGATACTAAAATGTTTGCTGAAATGTAAGTGGTGTAGCCTACTCAATTTTTGTAAGATACTGATAATACGCACACCCCCTAATTTTTTTTTCCTATTTTTATTTTATTATTATTTTTATTTTAAATCCAATATAAAATCCAATAAAAAATTCAGAAGCTCTGAACTCTGATTTTTGTTTTGTTTTGTTTATTTAGGCTATATCAACAGTTACAAATAGGCTACTTGTGTAATATAAAAATAATATTTGGTATTTTTTTAATGTACATGTATAAATAAATTCCTAGCAGACATGTTAGTATCTGTGTAATTGAGGTGTTGTCGAGCATTAGAGGTTTAATCCTGTTGAATGCAGTGAGTCTACGTCCTGCTGCCGGCCGGACTGTCTTCCTGGTTTCAGTAGCCTTCAGTTTCAGTCAGCCTCCTCTGTCAACACAATAGCTCGTCTGTCACCGCGCTCATTTCACCATCTCTAGTTTTTATCGTTTCGACGCGTTCGTTTCTTGTCATCGCTTGATTATAATGGATAATTACGTGTTCCGGTCGCTCTGACAGAACATTTTGCTTCGCCAGACTCATCTGAGGTAAGAATTCACACAATTTCAGGTCTCTCGACAATGAATTATTCGGAGCTCTAGTGTTACATAAACGATCTATTTTAAGAATATATATGTTTGTCTGATTTAAGACCATCATTATAAGATAATGTTTTTGTAAACATGTTTCATTGACCGACATAATAGAAGACCCTTCAGTGACGTCAAGACGACATCCCCTTCAGACAATAAACGATTTATGTTTCAGCTCTATTATTTATATTTTTAATTTTAATAGTTCGTTCTTTAGCTAGTTCACCTTTAAACATTCTTCTTACTATACGTAACTTTGCAACTTCATGTCCACTAACTCTCATTAGAGGCTATCTCAAAGTATAAGTTACAGAAGAACGTCTAAAGTGGGCTATCGAAATTAAGTGTCACATTTAATTGTTATAAAGTAGGTTTTTTTGTATTATCTTTGAACATCTGAGTAATACAAGAGCTTCCATCTTATTAGAGTAGCCTAAACCAAATATGAGTAAACACGATATAGCCACACACAAAAATGGGCTATGGAAAAATAATTGCCATGTAATTAATATGTTGAGTAAGTTACTATTGGTTTGAAAATAGTAGGGTAAATTGCACTTTCTTTATATAAAGTTAAGTTACTTTTTTTATTGAAGTTTACTTCGATAAGTTTACTTTCATACCCTATTTGTACAACTATGTATGTGGGTCTGTTGAGTTTTAATAAAGCATAGTGGTTAATAACTGCAGAGATGCACAAATTATTTTTTTTACATGTAGTATGGAACAAGATCAATGTATTTTTCTTTCTGTAAGTAGATTGTATGCATTGTAAATCATTAACTTTTTCAGCATAATTCCTTATGACTGAGCTGTTTATTATGAATAACCTACTTTTCACATGTGAAAAGACGCTGCTAAACGGGAAGTGATCATTATAAATATCACTTTCTTGTCCTAAATTGCTACTGAGGAAATGAAAGCATTTGAAAACTCCCCCCCCCCAAAAAAATGTGTGGGTTTTTTGCAATAAATTTTGCAACGGGTCGGGCACCATGCTATGTGATGAAATGCGCATTTGAAAGTGAAAGTCTAAAATATTTTCCCTCCTTCCATAGATCTCGAATTGTGGTGTTTTTCCTTGACCTGACCAGAACATTTGTTTTACCAGCATACTGTTGCCGACAGATAGGTAATTTGACTCTTTGTTATTGTTTTTGACAACATTTTCTCACACATTTGGAACCTCAAAAAGCACCCATCCTTCCTTCCAATCCCACCATGTACATGTTTCCCAGACAGTTGTAGCGAGCTGCAGGTATGGGCTTTGCTGAGGACTTGTGGTGCCCTCAGGGTCACGCCGCCCTAATGAAACTACAAGACTCTGAGCTGCGTTTGATGGAGGTTATGAAGAAATGGATCACGCAGAGGGCCAAGAGCGATCGCGAGTTCTCCGTACAGTTGCATCAAATGTCAGCCATTGTTGAGAAACTGGAGGGTTCCCAGCCTGGAGGAGGTATCGACTACATCAGCCAGTTCAATAAGGTTGGAAGTGTCTCGTTTGCAAGTATAAAGTTCCTATTGGAGATTTAAGATGATATGTTCATTGTCCACACTAAAATGGTCTTCATTGAGTCTGAATCCTTACTTTCCACATGATGTTAAAGGGTTAGTTATCCCAAAACTAACCCTAGCCCATGGTTTACTCACCCTGAAGGCATCTTAGGTGTATATGACATTCTTCTTTCAGACGAATACAATCGGAGTTCTATTCAAAAATATCCTATCTCTTCCAAGATTTATAATGGGAGTGAATGGGTATATTTTTTTGGAAGTCCATCAAAGTGCATCCATCCATGATAAAAGTGCACCACACGGCTCTGGGGGGTTAATAAATGCCTTTTGAAGTGAAACTATGCGTGTATGTAAGAAAAATATCCATTTTGGCTATATCCAGACGGCCGTACGCATCGATTTCCGTAGGTCGTCTGCCGAAAGCTAGTTGTTTTGGTCGATAAAGTTTTAAATATGGATATTTTTCTAACACGAATGCATTCACATTTTCAGTGCCTAGTAAATCCTAAAAATGCTTTAATTTTCTCATTCTTACAGTCGTGGAACGTGCTGGTCAGTCAGACGGAGAGCCTCAGTCGTATCATGCGCAAGCATTCAGAGGATCTGATGGTGGGACCCCTCAGCAAACTCACCCTCCTCGTCCGGGACAAACAGCAGCTGAGGAAGACTTACGGGGAACAGTGGAACCTTCTCAGCCAAGAGATGTGCAGGGTCAGCGCCACACGCACATCACTTCACAATTACACTCTCGTAACAAGTACAGTCTCACACGTATAAAGTCGAGTCAAATATATTTATATATATATATATATATATATTAGGGGTGTAACGGTTCACAAAATTCACGGTTCGGTTCGATACGATACACTTGTGTCACAGTTCGGTTCGATACGGTTCGGTACGTTTCCAATACAGCAAAAAGAAAGAAATGGAAGAGAAATTTCCTTGATTTAATTTTTTTAATTATATTTTTATTAAAACTAACATCATAAAGTCTGATATTTCTGAACTTTGAGCAATTATGGAACTATACTTGACTTTTCTTAGGAGCATATAAAACAAAACAGCTCCTTGGACAAAATGAAATGTAATATTGTAGTAGTTATAAACAAAGTTTTATTTTAGTTTAGATTAACATTTGAGGGCAGCAATTGTATTCATAATGTCAAAATAAAACCGACGTGATCGTGATGTTACTTGAAAGCATTATAGCCTACTATTCCTGCCAAACTTAGAGATAGTAGTGTACAGTAAATCCTTGGTGATGTTGCTGATCTTTGGACACTGGATAGTTCATTCATGGCACAGTGTTTCTTCCTGGTTTCCACGTCAGCGCAGTTTGATCCGTTAATAACGAAGAAATGTGAATGTTTCTCACTAGATCTCGCAGCGATGTTATTACTTCAGTGGCGAATTCAAATGTTTTCTTTACTGGATTTGGCTGTGTAGTAACCGTGCTAAGGATGAAGATCGGCTCGCGCTGCATTGGTCCAAACTGATAAACGGTCCGTCATCCAAACAACCACACAATAACGATTAGCTCCGTTTCGTTCCGCTTACATTATTTGCCATTTGATGTTGGGCAATGTGTGGTCACACCAACGTCTCTTACATTATGAAGGCGCTTGCCATGCGCGACGCGCCTACATTTGAATAACGAAATGTTGGTCGGCAGGAAAAATGAACTGAACGAACCGTTCGGTTCAAAAATGCGTACCGAAAACCGAACTGAAAGCCTCGTACAGAACGGTTCATATATATATATATATATATATATATATATATATATAGCGCTATTCACAATACAGATTGTATCAAAGCTGCGTCACATTATCAATCAAGACGACTTAACAGTGTTTGTTTATTCATGAAAAAAAGACAATCAAGTTTGGTAGAGCTGATCAATGGTATGATGGGTCATTTAATTTGAATATCCCCAACTGAGCCAGCCAAAGAGGATCGTTAGAGGTGCTTAAAGGCACTTACTGCAATTATTATTTAAAACATTTTACTGTTGCTATCTATATTAGAGGAAAACTATACAGTTTACAGACTGCACTGTAAACGTTTTCTGCTGAACAGTAACTGTTGTAACTATGATCATTTGGTGGACAATTTTCAATATTAATAATTTGGTTTATGTATACTACCAAATCTGGAATTTGAGTTTTTTGTTATTAACTCTAATAAAACTGTCATTAACTTTAATAAAATTCAAAAGCATATACGGAAAACATAGACATCACAAAAAACTTCACTACTCCCACTTAAAGGGTTCGTTTCTCCCATGTTGGAGATTAAACCACTGGAGTTACAATTATTACTTTATTGATGTCTTTACTACCTTTCTGGGGGCTGACGGTGGTAGTTGCGTAGCTGTCACTGAAGGTACAGAAAGCTCTCAGATTCCATCAAAAAATATCTTCATTTGTGTTGCGAAGGTGAACGAATGTCTTAAGGGTTTGGAATGGCATGAGGGTGAGTAATTAATGAACTAGTTTGGTTGAACTAACCATTTAACATAAGCTGCACATATCCTAAAATAACATACCCACCCCTGCCCAATTGGGCCCTCTACACAAGAAAAGGACCTTTAAAGGAACAACTTAATTCTATAAATTAAGATCAGCCACATACTGACATTTTCTCTTCTTGCACCCTGACATCGAGCCACTGATAATCCCATATATGCAATGTCCAAAAACTCAGTACCACTGTTTTAAATTGAAGTACTAAAGCCATTGAAAGTTATAAACCCCTTCACAAGATCAACCCATATCTATCAAATAATTTCCGAAGCAACAGAAGATAAAGGGCCAATAAATGTTGTTGCACATTAAATGAGGAAGTACTGTGTGTCTGCATCTGTGGGTTTATATTTGTGTATGTATATGCATTTATTTAATCAGTAATATTGAGGAATATTATTACAATTTAAATAAACTGTTCTCTATTTGAATATATTATAAACTGTAATTTATTCAAAGCTGAGTTTTCAGCATCATTTTTCAGTCTTCAGTGTCACATGATCCTTTAGAAATCATTCTAGTGGTGCTGCTTAATATTTTTGTGAAAAACTTATTTTATGAATAGTAAGAACAGCATTTATTTCAGCTAGATTTTATTTTACAAATTCCTTAATGCAATACATTATGAATGTCTTTGCTGTCACTTTTGATCAGTTTAGTTAAAGCAAAGCAAAATAAGGAGGCTTTTAGGGCTGGTAATCAACCGCAGCTTGCCAAATCACTCGTAACACATTAGAAACCGCATAGCTACACCTTTATAGGCTGCTCACTACTATTAAGTCTGGCTTTGTGTATGTGTTTAGACGTCTGGCAGAATCGAATATTAGATAGTTCTTTGAGATGTGATCAAATAGCACTTCTTTTTGTACTCATTTAGTTTGAGTTTAGAAATTCATTAAAATCATTAAATGAGTTTTTAAATGAACTCATTTATTTAAATAATATTTTATTAAATGTTAAATGAGAGAAAATCATTTAGTTTGATCTCTTTAATGAAGCCATTACCAGCGCACAAGGGCCTGTGGGTCTTTACATGGGTTTCTTTGAATTCTAGAATGGTTCGTTGAGAACCTTTGCAGTAACAAAATCAGGAAGTAGAAAAATGCCTTTCCATTTGTATAGGGCATTGAACAGGGACCCAAGATGATAACGGTCATATTTAATTTCACCTTCCATGGTTTTGCGTGGGTTTTGCCTGGAGGATTTTAACACTATTATTAGCTGAATATGAAGCATATTCTTCCTCATTGCTAAACCAGGCCAATAACGTGAAATTGTTTGTCAGTAGTGAATCTAGCGTCCTTTCATGATTGCACATGACATGTCTCACTATGTCTCACTAATGCACAGACCTGCATTTTTATTTATTTGTATTTTGTGTCCTGTTGTGGAAGGTTAGGTCACCCAAATCGAACTGGACCGGCTCAAGTCCAGTTACAGACAACTGGTACGGGACGCGGCCCAGGCGAAAAAAAAATATCAGGAAGCAAGCAAAGGTATGATGCCTCAGTGTTTTCTAGTTCTCTAAAATGCATGGCCACTTTCCTTTCATTTTGACTGAATTGGGTACTTTGTGCTAAAAAACACATACAATAAGAGGAACTGTTTAATGCTTAAACACGAATGGTTTTATGATATCATCTGTAAATAAGGTATTTGTTTACTCAATAGGAGAAAAACCTCCCTTTAAACGAAGACACTTGTTTCTAACACTTACAGAGGAAGCAAGAGAAACTAACTGTGGTTTCTCAAATGGCCGAAGTGTGAACGCTCAGCAGAGCACATTTTGCAGCATTTAGCAATGGCAGATGTATTTGCACTGTGGAAGGCTTTCTTTCTCTTCAGTGTACTGTGATAGATGGGTACTTATATTAGACTTTGATAGGATAAGCAAAGTTTTCATAAACTTTAAAGCACTTATCAGATGGGGGAGTATAGTGGTTTGTATGACTTCCTGATCTAAATACTGTATATCCTCATTTATATGAGAATACACACTACTGTTCAAAAGTTAAAGGTCTGCAAGATATTTTTGTAAGGCTCTTACGCTCACCAAGACTGCATTTATTTGATCAAAAACACAGTAATAATATTGTGAAATATTATGATATTTAAAATAACTGTACTATATATTATTTTTATTGCTAGGCAACGATTAATCATGATTAAACGCACCCAAAATAAAAGTTTGTGTTTACATAATATATGTGTTTACTGTGTATAATTATTTATTATATATAAATATAAATGCATGTATTTATTTAAGAAATATTTGCCTGTATATATATTTATACATCATTTATATTATATATAGAAATATAAACATTTTATATATAAATAACACATTTTCCTTAAAGGTACTTTGTGTGAGATTTACTCCCATCTAGTGGTGAAATTGTATTTTGCATTCAAACAAATTCACTTTTTCAAATGCGTGTTGCATCTACGGTAGCCGTTATGTACCAAAAAGCAATGGCGGGATGTCTTCTAATAGCATTTCGTCGAGGTTAGGGTTATATATATATATATATATATTTAAATCCATTTTTTTTAAAAGACAGTTTTAAACAGGCGTGATGTCTTTGGTTGTACTACAAACTATTTTTATATCTTTTAAATTTAGTTTTTTTTAATCAGCTTAAAATAACCTTCATGATTATGAGATGGCTAGGCTTTTTAAAATATAAGTATAAAATAAACATAAATTATAGTGACCACAACATTTAAAATAAACAAAAGGAAAGCCCCCACATTGGGGCCGCAAGGATCACAAACAAAATGTTTTTGATTTCAGTTTTCTCTAAATATAACCTTTTTTATTTATTTCTGTTTCCAGAGTCCTGAGATAAAAATAAAAATGTGCTTCGTGCGGTAAAATTCTAAAATGATATTCAATAATTAAAATTGAAAGGTTTTTTAACATTATTAAATCAATATTAGGTTACATAAACAAAACTAAATTTAAAGGTAAGATCAGGTTGAAATTAAATGAAAAAGCTCTTTAACATTAAATATTTATCAACTTTCATTTTCAATGTTATTTATGTTTGTGTGTGGCCTTTTGTACAGACAAAGAACGCGAGAAAGCGAAGGAGCGCTACGTCAAAGCCACTCTGAAACTCCATGAGCATCACAATGAATATGTGCTGTCGGTGAAGGCCGCCCAGGTGCATCACCAACTCCACTACGGCCAGAGTCAGCCGGCCCTGCTGGGAGCCCTGCAGACGCTGCAGGAGGAGATGGTGCTTATTCTGTGAGTGAACATCAATAACACCAGCACTATAATGTTAATCAGGTGATTAGGGTGTTATTAGGGTATTTCAGTGGTTAGAATGAGTTACTTAAAGTTAGATTATTGTTATACTATAGAAGACCCGTTCTCTCACAACTCGCGAATCAAGTTTTGCGGTACACGAGTAAACTCTCTTCTCGTTCTGTTCCCGCGTTTTTTTTTACGCTTATGCTAAATAGCAGGCTAACTAAGCAAAATGTATATTCATCGTTTTTTTTTTTTTAATAAACCCACAATTAAAGGCTCTAACTCTGACTCTTCAACTATCAACATCTACACAACTCTGAAAAAGAAGTGGCTTCTTCTGCATTAGGTAGGCCTAAGAAATGTTTTTAACTTTTGTATAGCAATCGTTCATTGTTACTGTATCTTAAATTTGAAGATATGATATATAAATGTAGAAGATATGTTAAATATATAGGGCTATAACACCATTCACATTTAGAGGGACAAGTCGCCCCATAAAATTAGAAATGGCCAAATTGCCCCTTAATATTTGATATTCTTGATGCTGCTCTGCTGCACTCCATTATGTGCTGCTCTGTTTGTTGTTAGGTTGACAAAAAGTTTTAAAAGTTACATTTTTAGTTTGCTCGCTGATTGCACACATACATCACGGTTACGTCTATTTGATTTTTTTAGACTGTTAGCTCTTCGATATGTCTCTAAAACGTTTCCTGTCTGATGTTAAGTAGACATTTAGAAAATGTCTTTAAAATGCTTATGAATTAGATTGTATGTAAAAGAGATGTGTTAGGGGTTAACAGTTAAAAGACCCAGAACCAGATATGAAGAATGAAGACCCGGAGTCGGAATTATAAAAATTAAAGAAAGTTTTACTGAACATAGTTTGCCATTTCATCAGCAGAAGTCAGCTTCAAGACTCACTCAGGAGTTCGTAGGCCGCCCCCTTACAGTTACAACAATCACAGTAGTTATACTGTTTTCAAGGTCTAAGCTACGTCATTGCTTACATGTTGAATGATTCTCATTGGCTAAGATATAGATAAACACAGTAATTTTCCACACATATACAGATAGACGAAACATATCTCCATCGATGAGGCACGTCATGACCTTCCAGGTCACAGATTTGGGTTGCTGGCGCCAGTGTGTCCAGAACAACAACTCATTCAATCTCCAATAATGGCAGTGGTTGCTTAACCTGCAACCAAGAAGACTAGCACTGAACTTTAGTCTAACTGGAGTAAGACTTCAACAAAGAAATAGTGCCTTAAACTGTTGGCTTCAATGACCCCTTTATGTTTTAACACTCAACATAATAAACCAAATCCCTATTTCCCTATTATTTTCACTGTTACTGCATTCACATAGGACACTAGCAAATAGGAGCTCCCATCAAGGCTGAAGAGAGTCTGAGCGTCTTATTATCAGTTAAGTGTACCAAAACATAATGGTAAAACATTCACTCGTTTGGGAGAAAAACAGATAACATTTGCTTCTCAGAAAGCAAATATAATAGAAAGAATACAGTTTAATATAACAATTAAAGTTCAATAAAGCAATGCTCAATATAGCTTGACCATCGGTACAGAGAAGTATCATATGTGTTGGACATATGTGTTCACGACGCCTTTATGATCCATAAACCTTTCTCCTGAGACCAGAGAAAGAGACAAATGGCCTTGTGCACCTAAAAGAAGCTGGTGACTTACATCAGCATGCATTTAAGAATATTATTTCACAAGCAAAAGCACAAAGAATACATTTATGTCAATAAATGATTAAGTAACAATGAATATACTTAATTATTGATTTTATAAAAGAAATACATAATCATTTAAAATGATATTATGATATATATACTGAAGAGGCAAGGGATTTTGACCACCCCTTCAGTCCCCCGTTTTAGACCAATGTGGGGTCCAATACCGCCACGTCTGGTCTAACCAGTGAGGTCACTACGGAAGGGGGAGTGGTGACGCATGATCCCCTGACGGGTCACACTTGTCTCTTCACCTCGTCACGGACATGCTGGATACTAAAAATTCCAGTCCCCATTAAGAGGCTCTCCCACCTTCCACTCACAACAGGACATCAATGTCATCCTTCCTTAATTTATCAGTCAGGTTAACATTTTTATAAAACACATAACTGATTACGAAACAAGTACATATTTATTCTCTGGAAGCCGGGCTAAATAAACAAGCACTGTTGCTGTATTCCTAGCATGGGCTAGACCCGCAGTCACTACTCAGATCCTAAATAAGGACATGTCTATAATCATGAATACCAGAATATAAGCACTATTTTTTATTCATTTATTTAAAACCATAATTTTCAAATCCTTTTATCATAAACAATGTTGGATAGTTAATCCATTATTTTCACTACCCCCTTTATAGACCCTTTAGGTTCAAAACACAATGGTTGTCTAACAAAAATATAACAACAAAAAAATAAAATATTAATAAGATTACTGATAATCGATTCAAGCACTTTTAAGTCTTTACTGAAATTATCAATCAGTTTACGGTCACAAAGCATGTATCAGTTTAATTGTATAACATCTTACACCTGTTTTATTATTATTGTTTCAAAAATAGAAATAAAATAAAACAAATCCACATCATCAGTTTAATTATTATTTTACCACTAAAATACAGAATTTTCCCCATTCTGCTTAATAAAGCTTTTGTCCGTTCCTTATCTTTATATCACATTAAACCCTTATCTTTATATCACGTTAAACCCTGTTAATCATACAATGCCTTATTTTTATTCTGAAATATTTCATACCATTTAAACTTAATTTAACCTATATTTCTTCTATCTTTAAATATTTACCTACACTCCTCATCTAACCAATATAATTGTTTGCTTACAATCCACACAAACATATCTCACAAAACAACCTTTTTGTTTTTCACTTCCCTCTTCCCTCTTCCAACAAGTCTCTCACCGCTGTCAGCCTAGTGACACTTAGAGTTCCCTCGTTAGGGAAATTATTTTATTAATTCTTCAATACCCTTGGTTTCTTATCATTAATTTCAACTTTATTTTTCCTTATAACTACTTTTTACAGTATTTGTCTTTCAAATGGTTAGTCTAAAGAATGTTAGAAAAATAGAAGTCCAAAAATATTATCAGTATCTCAATAATATCCCAGTCCCACTTATCTTTACACTTTTACAGAAACGAAAATATTATCTTACTCACATCGCAACCTCTAAGACAGCCATAAAGCTGCTTTCTCATTTAACCTTCATTAACTAAATTGTAGTTTTCTTAGACATCTAATGTCAAACATCCATTCAATGGTTTGAGAAATAAAAACTTCTGAAGAAGTTATATTCACTCCTCCTTTGTTCGCCCACCGGCCTTTCATAAAAAAATGAGGGAGCTCACTCTGGATAATTTGGATAGTGACTCAGCCAATGTGTCACTTTTTCTCTCTGCCGTCAAGTCTATAATTTCTTTTATTTACGTTTATCATTAAGATCCCACATAGTCGTCTATTTAAATGTAGACCCTCAGTTGAATTTAGAGAAGAGTTTTTACCCCATAATGGACGGCAATCTTCAACTTTACAATTCCAGTTTATTTAACATACTAATCCAGAGAGTAATTCAGAACAATATCATAAATGACAAAAGTATTCATAATTACCAATAGCAGACAGAGCTGGAAAACCACTCCAATTAAAGCTCGTCCCATGTTCTGTATTGTCTTTTCATCAGATTGACTCAGAAATGTCAACTTTTTAAAAGTTTGTCATTTCACTTAACCCATCTGTAATGTTAAAACACTCATTCCAGAGGTTAATGATACAATATCCTCAAAATCAGGCAATAATAGTCCCCAAACCAACACATATAAAACATAAAGTGCCGTCACCAAAAATATACACACATTCATACACTATAAAAAATATTTTCAAGATTTGTTATCACAACATATTTTCTTTTGTCAAATCAACTTTATAATAATTTATTTAGTTGAGATAACTTATTATTTTGAGTTTCTGAGGATTAAATTAATCTCCTTCATTGTATTAACTCACTTTTTCCAGTTCAATCAACTTAAAATTTTAAGGCAACCCAGGTTACTTACTTTTTTAAGTTAAACCAACAATATTTTTTACAGTTTAGTAATCAACATTTTTTTCTTGTAGCTTTTATTTAATTGTTTATGGTCTCTAAACCAGTTTCAAAGCATGCCTGCTATTATTCATTTACTTTTAGACAGTCAGCTGGATTGTTTTGGTTCATTAACATTTCTTTGTTTAAGCTTCCTTTAGCAGGCCAAAACAGAAAGTCAGACACAGTTTCCATCCCTTCCTCCACTCAAGTCTCTCTCACTATAACAAAATAATCTTTTTAACAGCCTCCTAATACTGTAACTTTTAGACAACATTTAAACTCATTACAATATCCTTTGACCATTCACCTTTGTTATCTAGACTCTTCTTAAATCTTCAAAAGCTGTCTTCATCTTTAGTCACCACCATGTCTAACGACCTTCAGGAGTCAAAATTATGTTAGACATATTCTAAATCTACACTATAATTTTCCTTGCCCATAAGGTAACCGACATCCAAAGGTTTTGTTACTGTCTCCACAACAACAAATGGGAATCACTTCATGGCCCTGACTGAACCCCGAAGCCCCCTTCCTGTTAGCTCTTTATCTATAATCTCCATCAGGGTGTGGTCCCCTGGCATACATAGAGCTTGTCATAATGAGAAACAAGCCATGCAGTGAATGCGGTTTCTGGTGAGTGGGATAGAGGGACTTACGTTCCTGGGGCAGACTGCCGTGACTCCTCACAGCTCCATCCCCCCTAACGATACAGGATGCTGTTGGCCTCGCAGACACCCGTCCACTCTCATACCCAACCTCACATAAACACCTCCATCAGGAGATGCCCAGTGTCTGCGTGATCCCCCTGCCTTAGGTTGCCTCCTATTTGGCCAAAGAAGGTCTTACCCGTCATCGAGATGACCACTCGTGCACACATGGTAACCGCCATTTTCTCAAAACCGTTTTCTTCAACAAAATCTGTTGTTTCTGGAGCTTAGGAAAAATATTCAAGAGTCACCAGGGCCATTCGGATTGCCTAATAGTTGTAACACAGGGAGACAGGTTAATAACAACAGTATTCAATCACTTAAATCCATTAACCATCTTAAAAGCAGCAACTAGCTACTCAGTGGATTTAGATCACAACCGTACATTCAGTGCACTTCATCTGTAGGCGGAGCCATCAGCCCCGCCCCCGTTTCATGGTGGGGACTAAGATTTTCAGACAAATAAGTTATTGGTTCACAAACAACCTAGTCAAAGATCTATCTAGTTTCGTCTATTATTATTTTAATGACTTCTTGAAAGTCCTTCAGTTTTGCTTTTAAAACATTTAAAATACAAATTGCCTCTGAATGGCAATGATTTCTCTTAACATCTCTGTGTCTATGATCTTCAACTGAAACACTGTGTTTTAATACAAATAGCTTATTATCACTAATGACACAGGCTCAGATAACATCTTTAGCTGACATTGAATGAGAGAGAGACTGTGAGGGATTCAGGACTGGTACTGCACTCATAAACTTCTAACATCAAACTTTATCCCATCGTTTAACTCTATTCCAACTTAAGGCATCTTTGCCAGAAATTACATACGGTTTCAAATAAACATTATTTACATTTGTCTTTTGCCCACATCAGGGAATTAGGCATTACTAATTTCCTCTCAGATTGAGTCTCTGTTGCACTGGCAGTTTTCAGCCACAGTACACATCAGATTCAGATAAGCAAACTGTTTCATTACAGCCCAAAACAAACTTATCTTTTTGAAAGCTAAACATCGGCTTCTAGTTCTTTCATGGTCAACTTCTCAAGTTGTTTGTTTAATCAGCATTCAACAACTGCTAATAAAGTACTGCTTCTGCTTATTTGTTCTTAAATAAAAATAACTATTCTAGTTCTCAATAACGTTTCTCATTTCTTAATCTCAATTTTAATCGTCAAGTTCTCAACCATAGTTTAATATTTGACTTAAGTTTTCTCTTGGAGTTTATCAATCTCCAATTAGGATTCACACTAACTTTGACGAGGCAAGCACTCTCTGCTTGTGATACTTTTGCAGTTATTGTAAATCATCTGTGCGATTAGTCTCTCTATATCATCTAAAACCTTTTTAAAATGTTTAATTAAAACACAATCATCCTTTTAGTTACTTTGATATATTTTGCAACTTACATTTGTTGCAGTCATTCATTTTACATCAAACTGTATTTCATTATTTCACTATAAAAATTACTATTATAGATCTTTTCTTCAAAAGGACTCACTTTAAGACTTCAATCTTTTGACCTAGTTTTTATCTCTTATTTCTCAGATGAAAAATGTTAATGTAGTCATTTAAACACGGATCTACTTCCAAACCCACATTAATACCAGAAATGTGTTGTCTGTCACATTTTAAAACACATTCTCTGTGGGCATTTACAGTTACGCGTTAAATGATCCTGCTGACCACAATTAAAACACTCTCTATCTGCTCCAACTTACTGCACACTCTTCAAGCAGTGTGTCCCATTCAGGAATGCACACAGAGCCACTGATAAGCAGTTCTCTGTATTCTTTTACAGTCCGCCAGTGGCGGATTTAATCACAATAGCCCAATCATAATCTTCATCATTATTATTGACAGAACATTAATTTTCAGAAGCTGCATCGAAATGCTCAAAATATTTCTAAGTTGTTTTCACAAAGTTTAGTTTAACTTTAATCACTTGCCTAGGGAAATTATTCCTGCCCTAGAATTTATTCTACTTGCTTTTTGTAATGATCATTAGCAATAAGAGGCTAAACAATTTCATCTTTCAGTTTCTTTATAACCAGTCAAGTTGTCATTTAAATTTCCAATCAGACTCAAAACCCTGACTACCATTTCTTAATAATTTCTTCAAATTTCTTCAAAGCGAGGGCTTCAGAGCACAGCTGTTTACAGCATTTGCTCTCTTCTGTCGCACTATTTGTTTTAGGACTGTTCAGATTACTGATTAAGTTATCCAATTTTTCTGCCATATCTTAATCATAGTTCATACTCACCTGAAGTTATGGCAGAAATGGAGGCGGCAATCTTTGAACAACTCAGCTTGGCTTCTGCGTGATGAAACTGCAAAGTATACTACAAAATCACAGTTACATATACTGGTCCACGCCAATTTGGGTCCCAACTTTTTATTTATTTTTCCCCGGAATCGTTCCTGATGCATCCCTGGCAAACAACCCTGTTTTTGTTAGTATCCCTAACTGCCTAATCCACTAAATTCGGGGTACCCCTATCTGAGATGGAAGAGATAGAGTAGGTTCGCGGTGCCCTGGAACTTAAACCCAATCCAGGGACGTACTTTGCTGGGGTGTTGCTACACCAACAATGCCCAGGCCCAGTGGGGCCCCCACAAAGCACGCTTCGCTTGCGCTGTCTGCTCTTGTTAACTTTAAACAATGCTATCAGCGACTTTTTCTCTTTCATACTTTAAACCTTTAGTATAATTAACATACTTCTTCACTCGCCTAATCGGAGTGAAGACTCTCCCGATCTCCTTCAAAATCTCTTCCAGTCAGACAGCCCTAACAATTAACAAAAGCTTACTACCTTGTTTGTTGATTTGCCAGGGGTGTCACCGAGAATAATTGCCCGCGCATCCTCCACCAAACTGTTAGGGGTTAACAGTTAAAAGACCCAGAACCAGATATGAAGAATGAAGACCCGGAGTCGGAATTATAAAAATTAAAGAAAGTTTTACTGAACATAGTTTGCCATTTCATCAGCAGAAGTCAGCTTCAAGACTCACTCAGGAGTTCGTAGGCCGCCCCCTTACAGTTACAACAATCACAGTAGTTATACTGTTTTCAAGGTCTAAGCTACGTCATTGCTTACATGTTGAATGATTCTCATTGGCTAAGATATAGATAAACACAGTAATTTTCCACACATATACAGATAGACGAAACATATCTCCATCGATGAGGCACGTCATGACCTTCCAGGTCACAGATTTGGGTTGCTGGCGCCAGTGTGTCCAGAACAACAACTCATTCAATCTCCAATAATGGCAGTGGTTGCTTAACCTGCAACCAAGAAGACTAGCACTGAACTTTAGTCTAACTGGAGTAAGACTTCAACAAAGAAATAGTGCCTTAAACTGTTGGCTTCAATGACCCCTTTATGTTTTAACACTCAAACATAATAAACCAAATCCCTATTTCCCTATTATTTTCACTGTTACTGCATTCACCTAGGACACTAGCAAATAGGAGCTCCCATCAAGGCTGAAGAGAGTCTGAGCGTCTTATTATCAGTTAAGTGTACCAAAACATAATGGTAAAACATTCACTCGTTTGGGAGAAAAACAGATAACATTTGCTTCTCAGAAAGCAAATATAATAGAAAGAATACAGTTTAATATAACAATTAAAGTTCAATAAAGCAATGCTCAATATAGCTTGACCATCTGTACAGAGAAGTATCATATGTGTTGGACATATGTGTTCACGACGCCTTTAGGATCCATAAACCTTTCTCCTGAGACCAGAGAAAGAGACAAATGGCCTTGTGCACCTAAAAGAAGCTGGTGACTTACATCAGCATGCATTTAAGAATATTATTTCACAAGCAAAAGCACAAAGAATACATTTATGTCAATAAATGTTTAAGTAACAATGAATATACTTAATTATTGATTTTATAAAAGAAATACATAATCATTTAAAATGATATTATGATATATATACTGAAGAGGCAAGGGATTTTGACCACCCCTTCAGATGTTTCTAAGATGTTTATCAAATGTTTGAACACGACAGATGTTTTCCAGATTAAGTGCTCTTCAGCAGACATCTTAGAAACGTACCTGTGCTAGCTCTATCTCAGCGCTCTAACGGCACTTGTCAATGTCAAAATGTCCAAAGCACAAATGTGAAATTCATACTATCATCTCGTTGCCTTATTTTTATAAACACAGCACAGTGACAGTTATAGACTTCTGCTATTTTGAAAGGATGATATGTCATCCTGTTCAGTTCTCACAAAAAAAGTTAATAGCCGTTACTCACATAGTTACAGTAAGTTGGAAAGAAGAAGTAGTTTTGCTGAGTGTTTTGTGCGTTTAAAACACATTTGACTAGTGTGGCTTTCTTTTTTTAATTTTAGGAAGGAGATTCTGCAGGAATATTTTGATCTGTCTAATCTGCTTCATGATGAGGTGGTGAGTGTTCACACTGAAATGGCCAACGCCCTGAAGGCCATCCAGCCTCACAAAGAGTACGAGAGCTTCATTCAGCAGAACAGGTATATACATTAACATTCCCTTTTGTTCCCAGTCTTTGTGGAATGCAATGGGAAACTAGACCATCAGAACAAAGGATGTTGCACACATTTGCTAACTTCTCATCTCGTAAAGTCAACATGAACTCGAAATGTATCCTGTTTACTTTCATAAGAAATTTTCCAGGTCTTATTGTGCATGATGCATCAGTGATTGTTATAATAAAGATTAAAGAAAAAAAGCTGAGATCAAACAGTTGCTCACAATATCAGGCCTTGCTGGTGACTACCTTAAGGCTACTATAAATAACATAAAATAAGTCAATTTCAAGCTTTTCCTCCATTGGCAAAACCGCTATTGTATTGTAATTAAATATCTTCATACAATCAAAAATAAATCATTTGTTTGTGAATAAATGTGACCTAAAAAAAGTGTTACAATGCTAAATGTCGGTCAGTATGCATAAACAATCACTAGTAAACTACCCAAATCTTAACTAAGGCAAGGTGGGTGGGGCAACATAATATAACATCATAGCCCAGTTTTTACAGTCTAATCAAATCATGATTGATAAAATCAAGTCTTTCCCTGCATTACTTCCTGTTAAATATTCTGCTTTATTCTATGCATTTTGAATGCATCACAAATGTCCTTTCATGGTGCCTTTAAAAGGATTTTTTTAACTTTTTCTGTGCAGGTCAAGAGGAGAGATTCCTGCATGTGTGGAGTTTGACAGCAGTTTGTTGGAGGACGCTGAAGGTCTAATGCCTGAAGATCTGCAGCTCAATGAGCTCACGGTAGAGGGAATCCAGCATCGGTGAGTTTCTTCTTTCTGTACATCGCATTGTAGTACAGTAGTGCAAATAAATGCACTACTGTCATGAAAGACAGAAGTGAAATCACCCACAGGAGCCTTGTTTTTGTTTCTGAATCTGTCATGTGAACTTGTGCGCACACTTATTTTGGCCTTAACGCACCATCTTAACCTTATAGGAACCAGATAATGTTTTTTTCTAAGTACCATTCAAATCAACTCTTTAAGCAGAACATTCTGACCCATTATGGTGATTTCTATAACAAAGACTGTTAAAACTATTTTTAAAACTTTAAACTGTTTTTTCTTTCCAAAAAAAGTGTTTTTTTTTTTTTTTTCTTAACACATATTTAGTAATTCACAATGTGTTCATGCAGAAACCACGAAAGCATACATTGATCATGGCATCACAACATGTTCAAGAACTTAATACACATTAGGTACTGAAAATACCTAAGAGACTACTTTCAAAAATCTTACTGACCCCAAACTTTTCAACAGAAATATGCAAATATATGCACATGCAAACAAATATAATCACACAGTGGCGTAGGTTTGATTTTGAAATGGTTGGGATGGGGAGATCAATATATAAATATATTTTAAGTTTTGATCGAAATTATTGCTAGGGATATATCAGTGTCACTGGATATTGGTAGGGACATGTCCCTTGCGTCGCTACTAAATTCAACGCCCCTGCTCTATGATTCACACATATATTTATATAATGTGTAGCTCAGTATTTCTGGCCCTCAGTATGTTTGGCAATCTTCTATCGCATCACAACTCATTTTGCGCTGTTGTGGCTACTCATATTTTAGGCTCACTGCTGTGGAGGAGGAGCTCTTGTGTCTTTCTAGTACTCTTGGTTCCCAGCAGGCCACTGTCAACCAGCTGGAGTTGGATCTGGAGAATGAGGAAGGCTCTGCAAACATAGGCCAGAGGTGGGTCTGTGAGCTCTCCAAACACACCACAGTACACAGTGCTTCCCTAGCTGAACTTCGTAAATAATTAAAGCATGAACTGAAAAATAGGTCCATTACCTCTTACTGATAAGAGATTAAAATAAAGAACTTTAAATGTAAAATTACTCCAAAGTGTCAACTAAACACCAAAATCCAAATTAAATTATAATCAAAGCTAGATTACCCCAGCAAAGAGGAGAGAGGCGACCAGTGATCCCAACATGAAGATCCAACAAAGAGCACTGCCATTGACGCCATCGAAGCTTATATAAAAGATGACATCATTCCTCTTTTGAGGATTGGGAAAATCCCTCACAACACCATCTATGGACTAAAAAAAAAATACAGACACATTACATTTTTGACAAACCGCTTCCCCACCATTGATGGCAAATTTCCGGTAGTGCTGGGCGGTATGACCAATAATCCATATTACATTTTTCAAAATGATACCGGTTTCACAGTATATGACGTGGGTTTTTTTTTTTTCCAAGCATGACTGGGTTGTCAACCACATTTTCTACTGATTGAGAAAGGAAATACAGCAGTAGATTGACTTAGAATGCCATATTTTACTGTCATGAGTGAATATTGTAGAATAAATCCACTTAGTATTAATACAGGTTTGCAAGGCTGTTTCCAAAGCAGAGAAGCGCTCATAAACACTGCTTTATCGGGAAAAATAAAGAGAGATTCCATTGAAATAACTTTGAAACTTTTCTAAAAACACCCCCGCAGCGTTTTGACTTTGAAATGTAGTGCTCATGTTTTTTCAACAATGTCAAAGCCTTTTGGAAAATCTATTTGTGGCGGGCAGTGTTGATATTGTGAACCATTATATAGGAAACACTGTGATATAATTTGACAGCTATTAATATAGTTTAACCTATCCATCTTCACCATCACATTTAGTAACACAAAAAGAAACACCAGTATTTATGAACCGGTATACCGCCCAGCTAGTGTTGTTTTTGGCGGCCTGTTTTAATTTTAGTTTTAGTCTAGTCTTTGTGTCAAGCTGACATTTTAGTTTTTGTTAGTTTTAGTCATGTTCATACTCTTTTTAGTCTAGTCTAGTTTTAGTCGAAGAAAACTGATGACATTTTAGTCTAGTTTTAGTCGACGAAACACATAGTCTAGTTTTAGTCAATGGAAATTGTATTTTAGTCTCTTTTTAGTAGGCAATTCTTTAACCCAGTCAATATATAAGATGCCTACCTAGTAGTAGGCTAGCCTATAGACGACACCAATTTTTTTCTTTTAGCCAAACCCATTTCAAACAATCTTATCTTCTTATAGTTATCTTCTTATATTATTGTTACCTTATAGACTCAAGAATGCATCCAGGAAGACGCTCTGAATTGAATTTACAACATATTTATTTTACCAACCAAACATGTTAGTAGCCTACACACATGATGAAATTAAAGTTTTTCCAAATGTCATTTTTTCTTTTTCTCCCAAAGACGAATCCCTTTCTCTGTAACAGACTTAACTTTGTTTGTTGTCATTTATGCTAAAGCCTGTTTCACACATACCCATTTGCAGTGCGTATTTTTCCCGCACCCAAGTTATGATTAGCGCTCATACCGCACGAGCATACCGCACGAGCAGAGATCTACACACTACCTCAACAACGCGCGTGCATAACAGCAGAGCAGAGATCTACACACTACCTCAACAACGCGACAAAATGGATGTAGGCTAATTTAAAATACTGATTTGAAATAAAAAATAGAGGATAAATGTTGTGATTGTGGTACAGCCATAGATCAGTTGCGCACTGCAAACGCAGCACATGTGAAAGCAATAACGCGCGCTGCTCCTGCATACTGCAACACGCACCGCATACACGCTACACACGGAGTGTGTGTGAAACAGCTGTAACTCACGCAACTGCTTCTTCTAAATAATGCCGCGAGTGGGGCTTGAGGATCTGAAGTCGCATGTGTTTGCACAGTGCGATCTGATGTAGCCCCTGAAGTGACACAGGAAACAGAAATGCTGCATACTAATCCTGCAAGTAGGCTAAACGAGACGAGATAACGTTAACATTTCGTCTCGTCTCGTTTTGGTCAACGAAAATGAAGAGACATTTTAGCATAGTTTTTATTTTTGTAAACCACATTTAGTCTCGTTTTTATTCGTCAACGATATTGCATTATACATTTAGTTATAGTCATCGTCACACGACCAGCATTTACGTTGCGTCTCGTCTCGTTTTCGTCACGTGATAAAGGTTCGTTGACGATGATATTTAGTCATAATTTTCGTTGACGAAAGCAACACTACGCCCAGCTCTAATTTCTGGCAATCCATGTTTTCACTGTTAAATGGGAGGGGGCGCTATTACACATCTTCTGAAAGAGTACATAATCTTTGAATCAAAGCACAGACGAAAAAGAAGTAGAATCAAACAATAAAAGCATTGCTTATGCACATGTAAAATAACACAGTCATCAAGCATTAAACAGCATATAAATCAAAACTGCCTAACGTAACCAAATAAAATGTCGACCCAGGACGAGGTGCAAGCATTGGGAGTTTTGATGGAAGCGATCTACTCCATTTGTTTTGCACATCAGGTCCAAATAATGCCACTCAAAACTGTCCTTTTACTAGAGCTAACATTACATCAACAGCATGTCTTGGTTCTTTGAAACACCAAAACCAATGGTACCCTTGTATGGAGCAGAAACAATGCCGTTTTCGGTCTGTCCAGTGCTGGAAAACTTTTCTAACATTAACGAGGGTTAGTATATTAACTCTTTCCCCGCCAGCGTTTTTAAAAAAAGTTGCCAGCCACCGCCAGGGTTTTTGACGATTTTCGCTAAATTTGAATGCCCCCGCTGAATATTTTCTTCCATGAATATATGAAGATGATATATATAAAATAAAGATCTGAGCCTCTGCTTTTAGGCAAAAAAAACGTTTTTATTTTATCTTCATCTGTTCTTTTTTTATTGCCTCTTGAACAGAGGTAGGTTTTGTCAAAAACGTCTCTGGTTACTTACGTAACCTATGTTCTCTGAATAGGGAACGAGACGCTGCGGATAGCGCAGTGGGATATTCTCTGAATATGCCGATTGTCTGAAGCCCAATAGAATCACGCCAATCCATTGGCTGATGGCGCTCGCGCAATCTGGCCCCGCCCCGACGCAATTACGTCGCATAATCATATACGCGCGTGCGCCATCTTCCCCTCAGATTTCTCTGCCGAAAAGAAGACTGTCAGCAGCGCGAGGAGCTTGGCCGCTAACGCAGCGTCTCGTTCCCTATTCAGAGAACATAGGTTACGTAAGTAACCAGAGACGTTCTCTTTCATAGGTTCACTCAACGCTGCGGATAGCGCAGTGGGAACGGGATACCAAACTCGCCAAGCAAAGAGCGCTGCAATGACTGGTATCAAAAGATAAAGACTACAAACGGTTCAAACAGAAAGAATCTGGGAACCCGGGGTCATGTCAAAATCCAAATTGTAGAAACGTACAAAAGTGTGCGGAGAGGACCATCCGGCCGCAACACAAATGTCCTCTAATAGAGCTCCCCTGAAAAGAGCTTGAGAGGATGCCACACTCCTGGTGGAATGCGCTCTAATGCCAAGAGGCGAAGGCAAACCACGCGCCTGGTAGGCAATCGATATCGCCTCTGTGACCCAATGAGAAATCCTCTGTTTCGATGCAGCAAGCCCACGGCGGCCAGCACCAAAACAAACCAGAAGCTGGTTAGATTTCCTCCAACAGCTGGAGCGGTCTACATAAAACTTCAAAGACCGAACCGGGCAGAGCAGATTAAGCTTCCTATCCTCCTCAGAGGAAAAAGGCGGAGGGTGGAAAGCGTTAAGGCTAACAACCTGAGAGCGGAACGCTGTGGAGAGAACCTTAGGAACATAGCCTGGCCTAGGTCTCAAGGAAACTTTGACTAACCCGGGAGCAAAGTCTAAGCATGACTCACTAACCGAAAGAGCCTGCAAGTCCCCTACCCGCTTTAAAGAAGACAAAGCCAACAAAAGTGACACCTTAAGAGTCAGAATCCGATCTGGAGCTGACTCTAAGGGTTCAAAGGGGGCCTCCTTTAAACCCTCCAAGACGACAGAAAGATCCCAAGAGGGAACTCTAGGGGAGCGAACTGGTTTCAGGCGCCTAACCCCACGCATGAAGGCCGAAACTAACCTCAATTTGCCCAAAGGAATCTCGTCTGACTCTCTATGTGCCGCAATGGCTGCAACATAGACCCTGAGGGTGGTAGCCGCCGCCCCGGAGGAAATCTCTCTTGCAGGAACTCCAACACTGAAGCGACAGGGCAGTTAACTGGGTTCCTATCACGTGCCAAGCACCAAGACGCGAAAACCTTCCATTTGGAAGAATACAGTCTCCTTGTAGAAAGAGCTCTAGCACTAGCGATGGTCTCCTGAACGTCAGTCGGGAGATCCAAGCCTAAAGTCGACGACCCTTGATCGGCCAAACGTACAGCTTCCACATGTCCGGGCGAGGATGCCAAATCCTGCCCTGAAGTTGGGAAAGCAGATCCTCTCTGATTGGAATCTCCCAGGGAGGCGATTCCAGCAGAGGAATTAACTCCGAAAACCATGGCTGAGACGGCCAGAATGGGGCTACTAGAAGGAGGCGGACTCCGCTCTCCCTCACTCTGGCCAGGACCGCCTGGATCAGTTTGATGGGCGGGAAGGCGTAGAGTTTCTGCATTGGCCAAGGGTGGGCGAATGCATCTATCCCCAACGGAGCTGGAGGATTCAGGGAGAACCAGAGCGGGCATTGGGATGACTCCTGCGAGGCAAAGAGGTCCACCTCCGCTTTTCCGAACACCTCCCAGATCAGGGAAACTGTCTGACGGTTCAACATCCAATCCCCCGACTGGAGTTTCTGCCTCGATAGAAAATCCGCTGCGAGGTTCAGAACCCCTGGGACATGGACCGCTCTCAGAGAAAGAAACCTGCTCTGAGACCATAATAGAAGATGACGCGCATGCCTGTCCAGGGTGCGAGATCGAGAACCTCCTTGCCGGTTTACATGGGAAACTACCGCCATGTTGTCCGTCCTGACAATGACATGGTGACCCTTTAGAAAAGGGAGGAAATGACGCAAAGCCAGGAAGACGGCTCTCAGTTCTAAGCAGTTTATGTGCCAAGCGAGGGTCTCGCCCGTCCAGACCCCACATGCTGGCCTGCCCTCGAAAACTGCTCCCCAACCGGTTAGAGAGGCATCCGTCGTAAGCATCTGGCGACGGAATACCGTACCCATGCTGACCCCTTTCTGAAGAAAGAGATGGTCCCGCCAAATCGACAGGGCGCGAGAGCAACTGCCCGACACCCTCAACAGGCGAAAGGCTGACCCAGTGGGCCGGATGCCTGAGAGCTTCATCCACCACAGGAAGGGTCTCATGTGGAGCAGACCCAGGGGTAGCACAGGGGAGGCTGCGGCCATTAAGCCCAGAAGCCTGCGGCAAGTGCCCACAGAAACATGATGGCCAAGCGAAAAACGGGCCAAACATGTCATCAAACTGCAAATCCGTGCAGGAGCCAAACGGGCCTGCATACGAACGGAATCCATGTGCACACCCAGGAAGACTGTGTGCTGAGCTGGAGTAAGAACACTCTTCTCCACGTTCAACCTCAGGCCGAGAGACTGAATATGGCGGAGAACAGTGTCCCTGTGGTGGGTAACCAACTCCCTGGACTGGGCTAGAATGAGCCAGTCGTCCAGATAATTGAGAATGCGGATGCCCTGGAGCCGCAAGGGGGCCAGTGCTGCATCCACGCATTTCGTGAACGTTCTCGGTGCCAGGGCAAGGCCAAAGGGAAGGACCTTGTACTGGAATGCCCTCCCTCCAAAGGCGAACCTGAGGAACTTTCTGTGACGCCGCACGACCTGGATGTGAAAATAGGCATCCTTGAGGTCTATTGTCACGAACCAATCTCCTGGTCGAATCTGAGAGATGATGGCTTTCAACGTCAACATCTTGAATTTCCCTCTGAAGAGGGCGAAATTTAGTCTGCGGAGGTCTAGAATGGGACGCAAGCCGCCGCCTTTCTTCGGAACCAGGAAATAACGGCTGTAGAAGCCTTGTTCGGTTTCCTCCGCAGGAACCTCCTCTATAGCTCCTTTGAGAAGGAGGGAAGAAATTTCCCGCTGTAGCACAGAAGCCTGAGTGGCGCTGTTGACTACAGTAGGAAAAATCCCGTTGAACCGAGGGGGGTTGCGGCAAAACTGGAGAGTGTAGCCGAACCGAACTGTGCGAAGAATCCACGGCGATACCCCTTGTAACCGCTCCCATTCTGGAAAGAAATGTGAAAGAGGAAGAGGGGTGTTGCAATGCAAATGACATACCTGAGTGAGGGTGTCGTGCTGAAGGCCGTGGAGTTGCAAGGTTGGCCGTGCAGGAGAGCCCTTGGCGTCCTGACACGCGATGAGAGGTGCTAACGCTGAGGTCTGGGTGACCGGGCCTGCCTGCTCCAGAGAAAAAGGAAGAACGTTTCTGAGGACGTGACCGGCAGTCAAAGAGAGTGTCGGGGGAGAGGAGAGAAAACCCAGGGTGTCTCCTTCCTCTCGCACCGGGCTGCGTAGAAGCGGTGAAATATGGCCTGCTCTTCGAAACACCCAGGGTGGCGAAGGAGACAGGGTAAGAAAAGGAGAGCTGGTTGGAGGTGGACAGAAACGCTTGCGCGGTCTGTCCCAACCTCGTGCCTGTGGAGGAGCTCTCCTTTTCCCGACCAACGGGTCAGGAGCGGGACGAGGCAGCTGGAGCGGGCGGCTTGTCGGATCGCTTCAGCTGCACACGTTTATGAGGTCGCTGACGAGGGAACGGGCGACCGCTGGCTCCCCAAACCGTGGGAGGTGGGGGACGCGCTGGGTCACTCCTCCTGAAAGAGGACTCCGCTCCCTGAGAAAAGCGTTCTCTAGGTCTTCGGGCAGGGGAGGGAGCGGGGGATTCCCTAACTCTCCTGGGCATGAACTGCTTAAAAGCGGCAGATTGAGACTTGGAAGAGCGGAATTTCTCAACCACCGTATTTACCGCCTCCCCAAACAGACCTGACTGAGAGATAGGGGCGTCGAGGAGGAAAACCTTATCTCTATCGCGAATTTCAGTGAGGTTGAGCCATAAGTGGCGTTCCGCAGCAACCGCGCCAGCCATAGAGCGGCCCACCGCACGTGCGGTATGTTTGGTGGCCCTCAAGGCCAAATCCGTGGCCTTACGCAGCTCCTTCACAGCCTCAGGAGTGACACCACTACCCTCATCCATCTCTTTAAGGATATCGGCCTGGTAGGCCTGAAGGATGGCCATGGTGTGAAGGGTCATGCCTGCCTGACCAGCCGCTATGTAGGATTTCCCGATGAGAGAGGAAGAGGTTCTACATGCCTTCGATGGAAGGAGAGGACGTGCCCTCCAAGATGGCGCCGACGATGGAGCAAGATGGCTGGCCAAAGTATCCTCGATAGCCGGAATGGCAGAGTAGCCCTGTTCCACAGAACCCACGAGGTTGGTGAAATCAGCAGCTGATGCATTAGTGAGACGCGAAGAAAAAGGCTGCTTCCAGGATCTGGAAATCTCCCGATGCAGATCGTTGAAAAATGGCAATTTTCTCCGTTGGGGCCTAGAATTAGGGCCACTGAAAAACCTCTCGTCGAGTTTGGAAGACTGCGATTCGCGAGGCTCGTCAGGCCAGTCGATCGAGAGTTTCTCCGTGGCGCGCGAAAGCACATCCACGAGCTCAGAGTAGGCCGCGGTAGGCCGCGTTTCCTGGCCGCTAGGCGGGATAACGTCATCGACGAGAGCAGGCCCGAAATCCTCGGAGTCGGAAGCCGCGGTAAAGATGACGTCCTCCAGCCCGAAAGAAACAGAATCGCGTGCTCCCGGGCTGGGACACAAATAATCATGAGCAAACTCGACCGGCGAGTGAGCGAGCTCGGGAGATGGAGGGAGAGAAAGAGCGGGGCCCGTCTGCTCAAACTCCACATCCTCGAGCTCAACATCCGAACCCCAGGCCGCGGATCCTCGAGAAGCCTCGGGAGCGCGACGGGGGGAAACGAATTTAGAATCCTTCTCAAAAACCGCAAGCCGAGAGCGGAGAGTTTTTAGAAGTAAATTATCGCAAAATTTACATTTAGAAAAACCCAAAACGGCCTCGCGCGCATGTGAGAAACCCAAACACCTGATGCACTTACTGTGAGGGTCGTCGCTTGCGATGAAGCGAGCACATGGCGGAGAGCAACGTCGATACTCCATTGCAGCTTCACTGGAAGGAGAACAGAGTTCCACTTGTGCAGTCGCTGAAGTGCAAGAATCCGAATAATCCGAAGTAGGCTTAGAAAAACCGAGACGAAGGGCGATGTGATCGCTTCGTGAAGGCAGAGAAATCTGAGGGGAAGATGGCGCACGCGCGTATATGATTATGCGACGTAATTGCGTCGGGGCGGGGCCAGATTGCGCGAGCGCCATCAGCCAATGGATTGGCGTGATTCTATTGGGCTTCAGACAATCGGCATATTCAGAGAATATCCCACTGCGCTATCCGCAGCGTTGAGTGAACCTATGAAAGAGAACACAACATTTTGGACAAAAAACTGAGAAAAAGGTGTTTTTATCAAACAAGTGCATTTAAAAGCAGAATACATTCAGATGTTGTTTCCTTCATATATAAAACTTTCCAAAATAAATTAAAAACATAAAATAAATGTAAAATATATCAAATTTCCCAGGATGTAAGGGAAATGTAACTTTTGCAATAAAACTTCTGCCTCTGCCTCTCTGTGTTCTACCTGTGAATAATGAATAATTCGAAAATTACAATAAACAGGCCTAGACACACACACACACACACACACACGCACGCACACACACACACACACACACACACACACACACACACACACACACACACACACACACACACACACACACACAAATACATATTACAATGTGGTAAATGTGCACAACGAGAGAAATAATTTGACAATTACACCTTCATATTTAGACAGCCACACATAAATGCCTGCACACACACATACATATTATAGTGTCATAATATTATACGATCTATCTGCGGCACGTCCATGGCTAGCATGAACATGTGCATCTCTCTCACTGACTACTTCGTCCCGATCAGATTCAGAATTATCAAATAAAGAGTGATCGGACTCCGAGTCCATTAACCTCCAGTACTTCAGCCATATACCTCTGCATTGTCTGTCTGATACATTCTCACTACTCCACTGTTTGAGACGATTGCAATCTGTTTCTCTAAACAAAGAGTTGCGCAATCATTCAGGACATGCGCGCGGGTCTTCCTTACCGTATACCACCTAAAACACGGATACCCGGAAAATTCCGTGTTTGGCGCAGATGCGTTTTTTCATTAAACACGGAAAATTCCGTGTTTGGCGGGGAAAGAGTTAACCAGTCTTTTTGTGCTTCAACAGTGGCAATAAAAGGAACTGAATCAAACTGAATCTAATCAATTATTTCGAAACAATAAGACCATTTAGATTTCACCAAATTCTCACTTTTTTTGTGTTAATGTGAGCTTGTCCTCCTCTGTTGTTTTTTTCAGGGTGTATCAGTTCAGTAAGCGTAATGCTCTGGAGGACAGCAGACAGCAGGTTGTTCTGTCTATGGTGGCTCGCGCTCGTCTGGAGGCCCAGCGGAGAGTTCTTTCCGATAAACTTCAGTCTCTGGGCAACAGTGAGGTTGCACCTGTAGGCCTGGATGATGATCAGATATCTGTCACCTCCAACAACTCAGTGAGTCCATTCAAATTGGAAAAAAAAAAAAATCCAAGTCCAGGCACTCTTTGATCGAGGGCTAAACCATTAAAAAACACTAACGCGTATCGGCCCACTGGCCTTCATCAGTGAGTCCACTCTCATCTCAATAAATCTGTCCTGAGAGCTTCAGTTTTTTTGCATAATCTTTTAAAAATAAAAGTTCATTACAGGATAGGAAAATATACGGTAGCTTCCATAACTTAAAACTTCCTCCCCAGTGAAGTCTATTTGTTTAACAAATCTGCAACTTTTTGACATCAGGTCAACTCAAGACCATGCATGTTTTCATGTCCGTTTACTTGACACTATTTAGAGCTGCTTTACAACAGAATTTAATTCCTTTTGCATTGTTGATCATTAGTTTACTGTTAGCATTGAAAAGCTGCTTTGAAACAATCTGTATTATATAAAGTTCTGTATAAAAAAAGGTCACTTGACTTGACACCTGTTGACTTGGTCCATTTAGTCTAAGTAGAAGGAAGTAGCATAGATAACTAGTAATATTTTTTAAAACCCAGAGTAAATAATGATAAGGGTAAACTGTCGGGAAATTAGTCAAACTTGCAGAAGAGGGTGTTTTACGGAAGTAATAAAGGCACAGGAGCAAAAATGTCCCATGGATTTATAAGGGATGAAGAGAAATGGTCATAAAAAACTAAATTATTGCAGAAAAACTTTGATATCTATCGAAGATTATAACTTGCCTGTAGAAAAAATCACAATATGGCCCCTGTAAAGAATCTAGTGGCTTCTTCAAAGCTGTAAAATGCACCACCATAATGACGTACTGTAAAAGATTAAAGCCAGTCATGATGTGTTGTTACAATGGTTTTGAAATGATGTGAATTGCACAACCTTTGTTGACTCTGCACTCTTGGTACTCACATGCTGCTGGTTGACCCATATGGTTGTTTCTCTAACATATATCAGAAGACTGAGACATGAATTGTAAATCATTTTCATTTTTGTTTGACCTCCCGATTTAACTGTACGTTCTCCAAACAGATATGAATTGATTAAAAGAAAGAATATTTCAAGTTTATACAGTACGGGAGGGGGGGGGGGATAAATTATTTGAATTTCTTTAGTTTAAAACACAAGGTTTATCTTTATGTTTCAAAGTTATATATATATATATATATATATATATATATATATATATATTCATACATGCATAAATAAATTGAACATCATTTAATCATTCAACATTTAAAGACATCCGAGTTCAATGAATTCACTTTTCAGTCACTCACTAAGCATCATGAGCTGAAGTGCAAGAACTTTTAACAAAAGTACAATTTTTTCATACAGGAGCGTGACAGAGACCATAAGCACCTCAACATAGACGTGATCGTGAGCCATCTCAGCAGCTTGTTCAAGCCCAAGTATATGGTTAGTGGTGTTGTGTTTGGTGGCAGTCTTTCTCTCTCTCCTCTTCCCTGCTCACTGCTCATTGTTGTGTCTACAACTTTCTGTAGAGTAGCGTGTTTTATACATCTCACCAGGTACCCCCCGCTCTGACGCCGGTGCCCGAGGTAGAGAAGCCCTTGCCTCAGCAGGGCTGGTATCATGGTGCCATCCCCCGTCTGGAGGTTCAGGAACTGCTGAAGAATGATGGGGACTTCCTGGTTAGAGAAAGCCAGGGAAAACAAGAATACGTGTTGTCTGTGCACTGGGGAGGCCAGTGCCGGCACTTCCTTATTCAGAGTACAGAAGTGAGTGTTTTACAGGGGCTTTTTTTTGTTCCAGTTTGCGGTGTGCAGTGGTTAGCTGCCATTTATGACGTTTATGTGTGTATTTAGGGTGTGTATCGTCTTGACGGTGAGGGCTTCGCCTCTGTACCACTGCTAATGAATCATCTCCTCAGCTCCCATCAAAGTGTCACAAAGAGGACAGACATTTTGCTGAAGAGACCCATCCTCAAGGTTTATCACTGATCCCAATTCAGTTCTCACAAGTACTATACATATTACTGCTGAGGATAGTGACAGGTTGATATAATATTTTGGCCAAGGTTATTAATAAAAACAATTTTTTTTTTTTCATTTTGGTCAAATAAGAGCTTCCCTTTTTCTGTCCACTTCAGAATTTACTAAGGGTTTCAAAATTGTTTGGGATTTTGAACAATTTAGGGATTTTATGGACATTTTCAAATGATATTATAATAAATAAAATAATAATATTAGAAAATAATATTAGAAAAATCCTCACAATTCCAAAACAGTAGTTTTAGTTGGAAATAAACAAATAATGGCATTAAGATATTCAAATATGCAATAAATCAATAATAATAATAATTGCTATTAATTATTAAATTAATACTAAACTGTTCAATTATTACATTTATTTCATAATCATTTTTATTTATTGTTTGTTTGTCCTTTAAGGTCCACCTTGAAAAAAATGTCATGAATGTACACCTTTTTGTCACAAAGTAACCTTTTTTTTACGCAAAAGATTCTAAAAGAACATTTAACATCAAATGACAAAAGGACGTTTATAGAATTTGGAAGATTAACATTTATCATTTTCAATAGTGTTTTTGAAGTTTCTTCTAAGAGAATGGGCATTATATATATCTAGATATGGACGTTGGCCATTAATATTATTATCAGTCGACCACTGCTGCTGAGTGCTGCGATTGACCAGTCATTATTATGTTTGCATGGATTAATACATTTTTTTTGTGGGGGTGTTTTTAGGATAAGTGGGTCTTGGAGCATGACGATGTCATCCTCGGACAGAGCATTGGTCGGGTAAGGCCGGATTTCTTCTGTTTTATAAAAGGATTGAAATTTCAGTAAAGATAAAAAAAAATCACTGGTCGAATCAATTTTTTTATTAATGATGTTGCTTCTTGTAACATTTTGGATGATATTAGGGCAACTTTGGTGAGGTGTTCTGCGGCCGCCTGCGTTCAGACAATACGCCAATCGCTGTGAAAGCCTGCCGAGAGAATCTACCTGTCGAACACAAGAACAAGTTCCTAATGGAGGCCCGGTTTGTAGATACACTGATTAACACACTCATACCGTGTGTACTCGCACTCTCATTTAACTAAATTGCCTCCGTTTCTATCTCAGGATCCTAAAACAGTACGACCACCCAAACATAGTGAAGCTAATCGGTGTCTGCACACAAAAACAGCCAATATATATCATCATGGAGTTAGTCCAAGGTACATCTAAACTTTCATTCAAATCATTTAAAGGAACAGTGCACCCAAAAATTCTGTCATGATTCTATCACAAAAAAAAAGATGGTTTGCTGTGTAACAGAGAACATAGAACATAATTTATATTGTTAAGCTTAAAAAATGGCAAAAAGCACCATACACAGAGTTCACACGTCTCGTGTCTTATATTGCAAATTTTTTTTACACAACAAATTTTTTTTGAAGAACAAAAGTTTATTTGCTTGTTTATTATTATTAAATTCATATATATATTTAATTATTAAAAGTATAATCATTGAATAAATGATTATTACTTAAAAATGTTCAAGCCACAAAACAAGTCTCTTGATGGCGTATTCTTCTGACAGGAGGGGACTTTCTAACCTTTTTGCGCACAGAGGGCCACAACTTGAAGCCCAAGATGTTGATCCGAATGGCAGAAAATGTTGCATCTGGCATGGCGTACCTGGAAAACAAGAAGTGCATTCATCGGTGAGAGTTTGAAAATGAAATAGAAAGACAATGAAGTATAGTGATAAACTGCATAAGATTCTAGTCTCAACTCTGAAAACTATGGTAGATCAGTAAAGCACTAGCAGACCTAATAAAGAGCTCACAGCTGTTTTTTATTGAATCGAATAAGTAGACTCTAGGTATTTCTCTATTGTGGTTAAACCTTTTTACCAGCGGTTTGCAAGCAATGCCCGATGGGAAGATTTGGGGATAATGAGACTGAGAGGAAATCTGATAGTGCCTGTTTCCCTCATGCTGTGTCAAACGGTCCAGTGTCTCTCGAGAAGATTAAGTTTTAATAGAGCCAGTGCATTCTATGTTTCTCTGTCTGTCGTTCTAGACTTTTTTTAATCTAGTTTGCTTTGGTTGCTCTCTATCTACTGCTTTCCTTTTTTTCAGAGCACCCTTCAATAAATCCCAATTTTCCCTGTCTCTCTCTCTAGAGATCTGGCTGCCCGTAACTGTCTTGTGGGAGAGGAGAGCGTGGTGAAGATCAGTGATTTTGGTATGTCTCGTCAGGAGCAGGATGGTGTTTATTCTGCTACAGGAGGAATGAAGCAGATCCCAGTCAAATGGACGGCACCAGAGGCCCTCAATTACGGTACCAACTATCACTTAAAGGAGCCTATTGCTGTTATGTAGGGAGATATATTCAATATCAGTAAGCACGAACTATATCAGTTTCAATATCAGTTTCTGAACTCCCTGAAACGCCTCGATTGTAGTCTTGAGTTTTCTTCAGGGAAAGTACACATCACAATGTTCCTCATTTAAACAATTTCAATCAGAGCACATTGCACTTTTTTCGGAAAGAGGTAGGGTGGCCATTTCCATAACACCAAAAAGGAGGACACTTTGACTAATTGCTTAGGACTCTGGTGTACTCGCAACTACAATAAAATTGTGTCTATTATAGTATCATGATACAGTGATTCTGAAATAGCCTAGACTACTCTATTCATTGCCAGACAGTTTGATCTACGATATATCTTTATGTAGACCTACTGTATGTGTCACAGAAGAGGCAAAAAAAGAGATATAAATACAGTTAATATAAAACTTAAAACAGTTTATATTTATTCAAGACATTGTGATGTGTTTCAAAAACTGACCACTGAGGGCACAGTGCCTGAAAAAAAAACATAACATTTCTGGACTTCTGGAAATAAAATAAATACAAAAAAAAAAAAAAAAAAATCTGGCACAGTGCCAGAAAAATAACATTTCTGGACTCCTGGAAATGAAATAAATACATAAATTAACAAATAATCTGGCACAGTGCCAGAAAACATAACATTTCTGGACTTCTGGAAATAAAATAAAAACATAAATTAACAAATAATCTGGCACAGTGCCAAAAAACATAACATTTCTGGACTTCTAGAAAATAATATAAATATAAACAAATAATGAATGTGAAAAAAGAAATAAATAAGTACACATTTCAGTTCTTAACAAAGACGTTTCCCTTGACTACTAACGTCCAATTCACGGTGACACAGTGTGCAAAATTCATTAAAACCGTTTCTACTGCTTTTTGATATAAATTCGTGCTCTTTTGTAATCCATTCCGGATTACATGAGGTCTGACGTTTCGGCATGTTAACTTTATGATATGTAGCCAGCACGCGGAAGCTTGATTACGTTTTTTAACCAATGATATATCAGATATTTATTTGACACCGCTTTCAGCCAATCATTTGTTTGTTTGTCTGAGATCTTACGGCGTTAGATGCTTTGCTGCTGCGTCCCAATAAAGATTTAAGAACGGGGTTTTTTTAGGCCGATTCAATGCAACTCCAAAAAGAGTGTCACTGACTAATGGGAAGAGAAGTTCTCCAACAATGTAAAATATGGGGAAAATCGTGTTTTTTGAACATTCTAGCATGAAAAACTATTTTACTAGACCCCAAAAACTAAATCAAGACTTTGTATAATAGCTCACCTAAGCAATCATTGCCAATGTATTGATCCATTAAAAATATGGATAGTACCGTATTTCAGCTCTTTTTTAGTGTCCCGACTTATTATGAAAAAAGCATGTTTGTCCCGTATTTCTTCTTTCCTTAATTGGGAAAGGGATATTAAAGAGCGTGGAGGAGATCAAGTCAGATGCAATGTCAAAAAAGCATGTGTGTACATTTAACAAATATATTTAAAAAGAGTTTATCAAGTTATTATGGGCAGTATTAAAAGATGCCTGTCCATCCCGTTTTGTATTTCACCATGAGAAATCTGGTCACCTTAATTATAAAAGAACTAAAAACAGATGTTAGACACTACATGTGCTGCTTTAGTTCTGTTTCTTAAGTATTTTGTGGTAAAAATACCATAAGAAGATACCATATTTTAAGGGGGTCAGTCTGTACCCATAGCAAAGAGTATCCCAAACCACACTGCATTGTTTGACTGGTCATGAGTTTTATGTCTCAATGCTGCCCTCTGTTGTTTCATCAGGGCGATACACCACTGAGAGTGATGTGTGGAGTTTTGGAGTGCTGCTGTGGGAGACGTTCTCCAGAGGAGTCACACCGTACACCATACCAAATAACATGAATAACCAACAGACCAGAGATGAGGTGGAGAGAGGTACTTCACATACTGTACCACACACACCAAACTATGGCTTATTGCCTTTTTGCAAAGCAAGTGTTGTTTAAATCTTTTTTTATGTCTTGTTTTTAGGATATCGTATGCCGGCCCCAAATAACTGTCCGGATGAAATCTATGCCCTCATGTGTCAGTGCTGGCAGTATGATCCAAGAAAACGACCCTCATTTCGTAAACTGAAGGCAGATCTGTACGCTTTAAGTCGGTAACGCACACACACATGCTTACATGCATAGGCCTAAGTGCAAATATTTTATGATGAGGCCAAAGCAAAGGGTTTATTTTTTTCATTTGTGTGCCACAGTTGAAAAAAAGCATTCTGACAGAGTACTACTAAGAATAGATTATAATTAAGAATATTTGATTTTACATATTAAATTCTGTGTAATGTGGTGTTCCAAATGTTTTTTTTTTTGGTGACATCCCGATGTTTAAACAACAAATAAATTTTTTTTTTTGAAGACGACAAATGTGATCTAATATAATAAGTCTGTACATTCGCTGTTTATTGTATGAAAATACTGTAAATAAATGTAAAAATTATTAATAACAATTTGAGTATTTGAATTTGTTCAAATTAATCGGGAGACATTGGTAAAGTGGAAAAGTCAATTAGAATCTGACAAAATATTTATATTTCAAATAAATGCTGTAAAAGTTCTTTTGAACTTTCTATTCATCTAAGAATCATAAAAATACTTTTGGTTTCCTTCAAAATATTAAGCTGCACAACTGTTTACATTATTAATAATGAGAAATGTTTCTTGAGCAGCAAATCAGCATATTAGAATGATTCTGAAGGGTCATGTGACACTGAAGACTGGATTAATGATGCTGAAAATTCAGCTTTGCATCACAGGAATAAATTACATTTTAAAATGTATTAAAATAGAAAACAGTTATTTTTAAATTGTAATAATATTTCACAATATTTTTACTTTATTTTTGATCAAATAAATGCATCTTTGGCTAGCAGAAGAAACCTTTTTTCAAAACCAAAAAATCTCTTGAACAGTACTCTATATGTTAACATTATCTTCTCTGAGAGGCAATATACAGTAGTTTTTGTTCACTCCACCAAATATTAATTTTGCTGTTGGTGTGAAGAAGTCTTAAATCTTCCATAAAGCATTCCATTTTCCTAAACATTTATGCACTTCAGACCTCACAGCCACACAGGTGTCAATGGGTGCGTCTGTCTGTTAATGTGCCTTATCTGCCTCAGGGATGAAAGAAGACAAAGCAGATGATATGGCATGTGACTCACAGTCAAACCTGCTCCAGGCTTTAACACTTTACATAACTGAAATTGATTGCATGATATAAGACTATCATATGACACTTCTTGGATTTTTAATTTCCTGTGATCCAGGATTCATTTTGCTTAGAAAACTGGTTGAGATTATTGGGACAAATCACAGATAACCTTTGCTGAGAAGCTTTACTGTTAACATGCTATAAACATGGGTCCAGAACAGTTTTTGAATTATAGGGAAATATTTCAGTGCACTGTCAAACTGCCAATTTAAACTCTACAAAACCATTTTAGGATTCCCCTGTTTTTCACCTTTATGTTCTAAAAATGCCCAACATGGGTTAATGGAGTGTGAGGTATGGAAAATTGGGTCCCAATTTAGTTTAGGTTCCAATTCTTACTATTAAGTAACTATTATCTATGACTTTTGCCTTGGTAAACTCCTAATTACTGCTGATTAATATTTAGTTAGATAGATGTTGGGTATTTGGTAGGATTAAGAGATGTAGAATATGGTCATGCAGAATAAGTGCTTTATAAATACTATAAACAGCCAATAATAAGCAATCTTTATGAAACTAGTTAATATTGAGAATCGAACCCTAAACTAAAGCGTTTACAAGATAAATATGCTAAAGAACAACCATTGTTTCTGCACAGAGACAACATACAGATGCCCCAAAAAGTATTAGGATACTTAAACCTGACTATAATATAATATCAAAATAAAATATACATTTATTCAAAAGATAGCACAGGGACACTTCTTAAGCAAAACATTTTACAAAAAGAAGTTTGATAGGTTTAATTAAAGTTCATAGTTAATCACCTTTAAATGTCAATGAAAAAAAAAATACTTAAGAAAATTCAAGAAAAGATTCCGGGGATATTCTATCGATGCAATGACGTTTCTACATTAGGGGGGGTTGATTTGCGATTTCACATTTTAAGAAAAATAGCTTCCAGAATCTCCACGAATTCAACACCGGATTCAACAAGAAACTGTTACTAAAACATGAAGCAGTTCCAACTTTACAACAAGAGGCAGCAGTTGTTGGGCCACAACCTGTAAGTAGGCTAAGACTTCATCATTTTAAATGTAATTGCATGTATCATTTCAGACGTAATGTTTTGGTTTTATCAAATGCCAGCGTTGGCTTTATAGCCACTAGGTTTTATGTCTAAGACAAACACGTACAAATATTATGGACCTGAATTTTGTATAATGGTGTAAATGTATTATTCGTGTATATATACTTTATGGTGTTATTTTTCGCACTTGTTTAGCCAATCACAACACACCGGCCCAAACTAACCAATCTGAGCCCAATGCCTGTTTCTGAGGGAGTGGTTTCATAGGATCAGGAAGTCAACCAGTCGTTCACATGACAGAGGAGAACGCGACTTACAATAAAGGTGAAATTTATGAAAAATAAGACTTTTAAAAAAAAAAAGAAAAACCACAAATACATGTTACAGTATATTGAACCCCATAAACAAGAAATAAAGCAGTAAACAACCCCTTTACGTGTGGGTTAAATGTCTAAAAACTGTTTTGGGTTTCGAAAATTGCAAAAGGTGTACACATTCTAAACCCAAGTTGGCCTCAGGTATAAGAAAACAACAACAAAAAAACTATAAATAGAAAAAACACAATGTCTGCACACTGAAGTTACATCTTCGTACAGTATATACATATTATTTCTGAAAAGTGCAACGTTTCAACAGATCTGTATAAATAAATATACTGTATGTATATATGTGTGTGTATTTGTATTTATATATTCATATTATTTATATATAAACATATTATGGAGCTGTAACTTCATTGTGCAGACAATTTATTTTTTGGGTACAGGTGTATCTTATGGACTTATTTAAAATGCATCATACCATCATACTACATTTACTGTGTGTGACACATTTGTAGATGTTGAAACTAGATACTGGCACATTGTTTCTGCATCTTGAATGAAACTATTTCCACGCGCTCAGCAGTCAGAATAAAAGCACTCTGATTTATATCAGTTTTTCTGGCGCAGAATAATCAGCCGCATGATGAGAGAATGAAGATAGAGTTCTGTGACTTTTAGACCCCGTTTACACCTGGTATTAAAATGCGATCTGTATCCAGATAAGTTATCCGGATAATAAGTACTGATTCCATTTACACCTGGCCACATAAATGTGTTTTTGCAAAACCGATATAAATCCGATCTTCACCTCCTGCGTTATATGCCGATTTATTGGATTGCACGCCACCAAAAGCAACAGATCTGAGCGGCATTTTATTGGTCATCAGCTAATTTCCAAATCAGAGACATCAATAAGAGAGAGTGGCAACAGGCCTGGTAAGATAATTTCGTTTCTTTACTTGAAGATGTGTTAACTGCATCTGTGACTTACTTTCACTTTTATTTGCGATGTTTGCACGTTGAATAGACGCTCAGCTGCTCATCTGCGGTGATGCGTGTCGCATCTGACTAGGCTATAACATGACATATAGCCTATATAACACGCTCTCACTCGTTTATTTTTTAGCATTTTTGGGAGGAGTAAAATATACATATGTGGTTTCAACAACCAGATTGCGTTTACACCTAGTAAAGATCTGGACACAATGCGAGCCAGACTACCTCCAGATGTGGTCAGGCAGATCCGATCACGATCCGATCACAACGCGTTTACACCTTGCATTAACATGCGTTTTTTATTATCCGGATAACTTATCTGGATACAGATCGCATTTTAATACCAGGTGTAAACGGGGTCTTAAAGACGGGTGGATAAATATGCTTTTCCTCTCTTTGCTGTCTCTCAAAGTTGCTTGCAGTGTATTTGACACAGTTTAGTTTATGGAGCATTAAAGACGTCATCAGTGTTCTGAGAGGATGACATTGATGGTCCTAATGTGATAAACAACATGCCGGTGTGGCATGTTGAGTGTCAGCTGACACATCTCGTGGTGCAGCTGCACATAACAGCAAATACCGTTTGAAAGGCCTGCAGGTATTCACGCGTGGAACGCCTGACTCCTCAAATCACTCACTGGTTGGTGCTGTCAATGCTGAGTGTTCGATGTTTGCCATGTGCGTTTGGTTAATTAATACAACTTATTTTTTATGCATAAAATAACTTATTCATTTATGCAAAAAAAAACACATTGGCTTGGACAGATGTTGATCAGCCTCAAAGGGGGTTAAAGGAGTAGTTCACTTTTAAAAAACTTTTGCTGATAATTTACTCACCCCCATGTCATCCAAGATGTCCATGTCTTTCTTTCTTCAGTCGAAAAGAAATTAAGGTTTTTGATGAAAACATTCCAGGGTTTTTCTCCATTAAATGGACTTCATTGGGAACCAAACGGTTCAAGGTTCAAATGAGAGTTTCATTGCAGCTTCAAATGGCTTTAAATGTCTTATCAGGCGAAACGATATTTAAAAAATAACTTGTTCAAACTCATTAATTTTATCTTTATTTGAGTCATTCGGTTCATTCATCAACAAATGAAATGAACAAAAGGACTCGAAAAAAGATTCGCTCATTTTGATGAACGAGTTTGAACAGGAGAGTCACGAACACGCATCACACAAAAGAGCAAGGCCAGCATTTGAGATTATAAAACTTAAACTTTTTTAATTATATTTGAAATAACTGATCGTTTCGCTAGATAAGACACGTAAGGAAGGCCCGTTTACACCAAGCACTATAACTATAAAGATAAAGATATAATTCAAAAAATCGTTCTCCATATTAAAGAATAACAGAGTTCAAACCATAGCTATAACGATAAAGAAATGAGGAACGATATCGTTGGGATCACTTTCAGATCGATTTTTTTCCAGCTGTCCAACGATAAAACATTGACAGCCAATCAGTTTTGTGCCTGGCCCTTTAAATGCAAATGAGCTGCTGTAGAAGGCGGGTTTCAAGAGCTGGTGTGTGTTAGCAGCTCACGCAGACACACTAAAATGACAGGAACTGTTCATCCCTTTAATGTTAAAATGGAGTCAGTCAAAGATGGAGCGACTCAAGAAGAAGTG